GCGGCCGCCATTTCCATGGCGATCTCCTCGGCGTCTATCCAGATTGACCAAATCGAATTTGAGCAGATTGTGCAACTGGAATCGGAGGAATCGAAAGACGTTGAACCTAAAAATTGGGCGAAATCAGGACCTAATTCCAAGATAACAACAGTACCTCACTAACATAAATGGGCCTAGTAAAGGGCCCATATATAATTATCTATGCTTAAGCAAATGAGGAACGTTTATTAATCCGGGCTATCTCAGAGGGTGTAAATGGGCCTCATCAAGGGCCCATGTATTTCGATAGTGGGATATTCCGTGAGAAGTCCGAACATTTTTATCTCTCGCACGTGTGACCTCCACGAAAGAAAACAATACCAATATTAATTTATTTATTATTTAATCACCCGGACCGCCGGTTTGGCGCTACGGCATCTTTTTCTCCTCTTCAGAAAAACCATGTTATTCTCTCACGCGAACCGTCCGATCTGGTGCCACGTCAGTCATCCTCGAGAAAGTTAAATTGAACGGCTGAGATCAGATTTCCTGAGGCTACTGTTAGAGCTGGTCGAAGCTCCTCGCCACTCTCTCTCCCACCTTCCCCTCCCTCTGTCAAAAAGTCTGGAAATTTTTTTCCTAGGGAAGTTAGATTTTTTTTTTCTGGAGGAATATTGCCACTGAGGTAAGATGACGCTCGTTGAAGATGATAAGAAGTTCAAGGAGGAACCTGAAGTTCAGGTTCTGAGCAGCGATGACGACGGTGATGAAGAAGCGAAAGACGGAGAAGAAGTCGACGGCGACAAAGACGGCGGTGAAGGAGATGATGACGAAGACGACGAAGACGAGAGTGAGGAAGGAGATGGTGAAGAAGAAGATGACGATGAAGTGCAGGTGCTGTACTCCTCCGGTGGGCCGCCGGAACAGTCGGCGGAAGACGAGGAAGAAGAAGGCGACGAAGATGGAAACGGAGGCGGTGACGATGACGACGACGACGATGACGACGACGACGACGAAGAGGACGATAATGACGAAGAAGAGGTACGATTCTGAAATTCAAATCTCATAGGTTTCGTTTCTTTCCCTCGATTTTGTGTTTTATTTATCTGCATACGATACAGTCCTTGTCGGAAACACTAGATCTGTGGTTTTCTGTGCCTATTGCTTTCAATCTCCGCTGATTAAGCCGAAAGCCTCAATTTCCCCGTGGAAGTCAACCAAATCTGAGTAACGTATATGCATTTTACGAAAAGATTCGGATTTTCCCGGAGAATTTTCTTGCTACATCTGAAATTTAAACCCTAAAAGTAAGGTTTATCCTTTTTATTTTCTCTAAATAATAAAAGGAAAAGTGCGATAAATATTTTGTTCATCGAGTAAATTTCCTGCGGACCAGAGAAAAGTCTGAAAACTGTTGCCTGAAATCAATGTTTTGATTTGCTCTTCCAAAACATAATAAATCTTGTCTGAAACCCCTAAATCCATATGATATGTTTTCTGAAAACTGTGGGAACGTGTAGGAGGAGGATCTGGGGACAGAGTACCTAGTGAGGCCGGTGGCTGGGGCAGAAGACGAAGAAGATGCGAGTGATTTTGAGCCTGAGGAGAATGGTGAGGAAGAGGACGTCGACGAAGAGGACGAAGATGAGGGTGGTCAGCCGCCAAAGCGGAAGAGGGCCGCCAAGGACGATGATGATGATGATGGTAGTGATGATGATGGTGGTGGTGATGATGATGAGAGGCCTTCCAAGAGGTAGCTCAAAACTGACACGGACCAAGAGCTCCTTAGGTACAAATTGTGATGGGTTGAGACCCATCTTTTAAAAAGATGATCTTTTTTATTTATTTTCAGAGCAGAAAAAATGTTAAATCGAATTTGAACCGATAGATTTGGATGATGGGGTTCTCATGCCCCATGTAGTTCATCTGATGTTGATGCATTTAGCACCATCTTTAACATGGTGCCTTTCCCAATTGGTTTCCATTCCAAGACTCGGAGATTCTATTCGTGACATCGAATGCCGCCTTCCTTCTTCTTCCTCTGACTCTACCCACACAAAAAAAAAAACTGTTACAAGACATTTGAATAAATTGGTTTTCTAAAGCATTAGTATCATTTACAGTTGATCCCATTAATTTTCCCTTTTTTTAATTTTCATTGCAAATAAACTTGGAGCAAAAGGCTGTTGTTTACTTTTCATGACTATTGAGAATTAACCGATTTACACTTTGTATCAATTTCCATTACATCTATTAATTTAGCATTCGTCTGATGAGTGTTTCCGGATTCAATTCGTTTTCGGTTTGGTATTTGCTTGGTTCGTGTCATTCTGTTGCTGTACCATCCGTTTGGTATATCATGTTTGGTTTTAGTTTTCTGTTAGAAAAAAATTATTTTTAAAAATAGAATCTATCATTTCGAATTTTTAAATTTTCCATGGTTTGATTCGATTCCCATTGATTCGGTTTTTAAACATAATCGTTTGGAATTTATTAATGGTTTTGTTCGGGAACCTGGAACCATATTAGATTTTTTCTGAATAATTGAATCGAAATGATCACCCTAATTGTTAGTATAAAATTTTGGTGGGGAGAATTAGTTATGAATTGGCTAAGTTGAGTTTTGTGAGCTAATTCGGCCGAGATTCATGGGTTGACTTACGGTTGTCAAACGGTTCGGTCTATGGCCTCTAGGCCCACATTCAACTTGAGGGTTTTGGACTCGGGTTCAAACCAACCCGACTCTTTTTTGGGTTTATAAAATCAAGCTTTTGGACTCGGGTCGGGTTGATTGGACTGACCCGTTGGATTAAGATTTCTTACTTTTTTTTAAAAACTTTTTTGAAATTATTTTTTCAGATTTTTTAAAATAAGATTTTTGGACAGGTTACGAAATCCGTCGGGTTTAACCCGATTTGAGTTCATCCCAAAAACTTAATTTTTTCAGATCTACGAATTCAAATTCAAATCCTGTGACAGTCGGTGTTGGGACGAAGATGGGAGTGATCGATGGTGTAGGTGGCACGGACAATGAGTGGTTTCCGAGTAACACTAGATCAGAGGGTACATAATTGAATCGAATGTACCGGAATAATAGTTATCCAATGACTGTATAGATATAAGACTACACAGTAAAAAATAAATTAAAAAAAGGGATAATCGCATAAAAATACCCGAATTTTTACAAAAATCTCACATAAATATCCGAACTATAAAATTGTCATATAAATACCTGAACTTTTCATAACTCCCATATAAATACCCAGACTTTTAAATTTTTTCTAAATCAAACACTCATCCGTTAACGTCGTTAGACGTAACTGCTGACTCAGCAAAAAAAACCTGCTGACTCAGCAAAAAACTGCTGACTCAGCAAAAAAAATATTATGAAATATCCAAATTTTTATCTACATATATTTAAATTAATATATACATATAAATTCATATATATATATATACAAATATATATATATATATTAAAAATAAAATTATTTATAATTAATAAAACACATATATACATAACTACAATATATATATACAGAGCCGTCTCAAACATTTACGGGACCCTGTACAAAAATATTTATTTTTATATAAAAAATGTAAAAGTTAAATATTTAAATATAATTTAATTATGAATTGTATTAAAATATTAATATAAACAATTGTATTTTACAAAATAAAAATTTATCAAAAATAACATAATTGTATCATTTTTCACTTAAATAACATCATTCTTTTAGCTTTATTTGAAGCAAAAATATCTATTAGGTCTTCATAATTGATCTTCTCTAAAAACTGCTCTCTATTGCGATTAATGATAATCCATTAAGCCTTTCTTGGGACATCGTAGAACGTAAATATGACTTCAATAACTTCAAATTTGAAAAACTTCTTTCTGCAGAAGCGACAGTCACGGGAACAGTTAGTAAAATTCTATAAGCAATCATCACATTAGGAAAACAATCCATACGTTTTAAAAAATTCAAAACATCGATAGGTTTCATAATTTCTTTAGACAAAAATTCTTTTAATAATTTTAACTCTATACATAGTTCGTTTCCATCAATATCAGAGTGTTCATCTTTTCTAAGAGTTGTCTCAAATGCATTACAACATAATTTCAAATTTGTATCATCAAAAGAATATAACTTTTCTGGAGTAAATAAAAAACCAAATATATTTTTATATTTTTTATATCGTTCAAATCTTTTATTAAATGAACTAATTGCTTGATCAATAATATATAAAAAATAGTTGACCCTAAATAGTTCTTCGGAAGAAAATGAAATAATCGACGATTCATTATTTAAACTTTCATCTAAATATCGTTTTCTTTTAATTTCACGTCTTTTTGGAAACACAGGATCTACATCTATTTCCATGGCAATAATTTTAGCAGTTTCTAAAGCACTAGAAAAACCAGTTTCTCGGTAATTTTTTTAAAAACAAATCAAACATTTTATCTTTTCAATAGCAACATCAATACGCATATCACTTGATTGTAAATGTTTACTAACCAAATTAACTGTGTTTAATATTTCAAACCAAATAACTATTGCCACCAAAAACTCAAAATCATCAAGTTCATTTATAGCTAAAGACTTAGCTTCCCTTCTTATTTTAGAATCATTATCATTTTAAGATACTTCAAGCAAAGCTTCTCTTATCTCCGAAATTTGAAATCTGATGATTTTAACACTTTCAACATGACTTTCCCAACGAGTTGAAAACAATGGTTTCAAAGATAAACCTTTTACATTATCTTTCAAAATTTGCCACCTTTTAGTAGAATTGACAAAAATTGTATAGATACGTTGTATGACTCCAAAAAAATCTTTAGATTTACTACAAGTATTAGCCATATCACATAATGTTAAATTTAGACTATGAGAACCACACAGAGTATAAAAAGCTCTAGGATTCATGTCTAAAAGTTTTTTTGTACACCTTGATTTTTTTCTTTCATATTTGATCCATTATCATAACTTTGTCCTCTTATGTTATCTATATCAAGATCAAGTAATTTTATTTCATCTTGTAACACATCAAAAAGTCCTTGACCACTTGTATCATTCACATTTAGAAATCCTAAAAATGATTCTTCAATATTAATGGGATTAGAAGAGACATCTACATACCTGAGTATCAAAGACATTTATTCTTGGTGACTAACATCTGGAGTACAATCAAGTATTACAGAAAAATATTTTGCTTATTTTATATTCTTTATTATCTCTTTCTTAATTGTAGAAGCAAGTAAAAGTATTAATTCATTTTGAATATTATGACCAAGATAATGATGATGAATTTTATCATCCGTTATACGTCTAACATGTTCTTGAACAATTGGATCAAATTCATTCAATATTTCAATCAACCCTAAAAAATTTCCATTACTATTTTCAAACAGTTTCTCATTAGTACCACGAAATGCTAAATTATGTTTTGCGAAGAATTTTACAACTGAAATAATTCTAAAAATAACATTTTTCCAATGATCTTTTTCTTTCATAAGTTGTGTACGAGCTACTTTATCAATAGTTTGATTCTTTTGGAATCGTAAACGCAAATCATACCAAGTTGTCAGATTTTTTAAATGTTCTACACTCATTTCATGTTCTTTAAGTGTGTCCAATCTCCAATACCTTCATTTGCTAATTGACCTTTTTCAATATTTTTTTTAAATATTTTGCAACAAAAACAAAAAACTTTGTCAAGTTCTTTCGAATATACAAGCCAATTCCTATTATATTTTTCACCGTTTGGTAAAATTCTAGTATAACACGTTGAAGAAAACCGTCTAGAATATTTATCGTTTTTACTTTTTTCAATCATTTTAGAATCAAGAATATCTCAATTTCTTGGATCAAAAATATCAATCATATCGTTAGATTCAGGTGACTTACCTTCTCCACCATTTTTTAGATCAAAAGTATTAAACATATCATTCTCTTCAAAAATATTTTTTTCATTTTGTATATCATTACCATCACTAATACTATCACTTTCATTTATATCTACTATATTATTAGAACATTCACTTTTATTTTGAGTAGAAGTTTGTGATTCTTTCATGATAAATTTATCAAGAGCTCCTTTTTGAGATTGAATCAACTCTTCAACTCTTCTTTTTTTCTTACGTTTTTCACATCCAGATTCATATTTTCTAATTCCAGATGACATAATTAAATATATTTTTAAAAAATTTAAAAAAAAATAAGAGAACCAAAAAACTCTGGAAATTTATGAATCAACTTAATGTGATCCAAATAAACTTTATCTTTTTGTTAAAGAATAACAAATCTGCAATGCAATGATAATGTTATCATTAGAAAAATAAACATTGATAATATTTGTTGAAAATATAAAAAAAAAACTAAAGATAAATATATTACCTTAATTGTGATGTTCGCAGAATAAAAAGTGTAAACCAATGAGAAGTATGAGAATGATTTTGTTATGAAGCTTTAGAAATAGATAATGCAAGATTAGGTAGATTCACTTTCTATTTATAGACAAAAAATTAAAATTATTAATTAAAAATATAATATCGTAACGTTCATAAACGACTAAAAAGTTAGAATTCTTAATAATAAATATTATAAAGATATTCTCCACCTAATTTGAAGGAAAAAAGACTCAGTAAAATCTGATTTTCATTATTTATTAAATTTATATTAAGAAATATTAATTTATTAAGAGTTAGTAAAATATTTTTTTAACTATGGGGCCCATCTAAATTGTGGGGCCCTGTGCTAAAGAACCACTTGCACCTCCTTTGAGCCAGCCCTGTATATATATATATCATTACTAATGCATATATATTAAAATAAAAATAATTATAATTAAATTTATATACATACATAATATACATATTAAAATAAAAATAATTATAACTAACATATATACATATAATATATAATAAAAATAATATTTATATGTGTATATATTAGTTATATATACAAAATATACATATACAACTAATATATATAATTATAATTAGTTACAAACCCCTAATTAGTTGTATATGTATATTTTGTATATATATTAGTTATATATGTATAAATATAATTGTATATGTATATTTTGTATATATAATTAATATGTATACATATAAATATTATTTTTAATATATATTATATGTATATATGTTAGTTATAATTATTTTTTAATACATATATTATTTTTATTAATTATAAATAATTTTATTTTTAATATATATATATATATATTCGTATATATATGTGAATTTATATGCATATATTAATTTAAATATATGTAGATAAAAATTTAGATATTTAATAATTTTTTTTTGCTGACTCAGCAGTTTTTTGCTGAGTCAACCGGATTTTTTTGCTGAGTCAGCAGTTTTTTGCTGAGTCAACAGTTGCTTTTAACGAAGTTAACGGATGAGTGTTTGATTTGGAAAAAATTTAAAAGTTTGGGTATTTATGTGGGAGTTATGAAAAGTTCAGGTATTTATATGACAATTTTATAGTTCGGGTATTTATGTGGGATTTTTGTAAAAGTTCGGGTATTTTTATGCGATTATCCCTTTAAAAAAATGATCGAGCTATTTATACCAACAAGATGAGTCTATTTTTTCTGTTTGTCTATATTGAGAGAACTCTGAAGTTAAGTAGTTTGTTCTGGAATATTCTTAGAATGGGTGATTTCATGCGAAATATTTTTCGAGATGTGTGCGAGTGAGGACAAAACACGTTAAAAGATTTCGTGTTGGTGTGTGAAGGCAGTTCCATCATTTCGTAGCGACCTTAGGCATTATAAATCTCATCTTTTTTCGAACGGATTCGGATCGTTTTGCAGATCTTGGTCCAAAATTAATAGCCGGATTAACCGTGTTTCGCCCGAGACTCCGATGGTCGACAATTATCCAACCAGTGGAATTCCTTCTTGGCACAGTTAAAGAAATAGAGATAAAATAATCTTATTTTTTTTATTTAAAATACGGATTTATATTTATACTAATACAACATGGTTTCTTTCGTTTTCATTTGCATATAATAGCGGTTAATGCGTATAACGACATTAAGTTCGGAGCCCGCATTTTTATATTGTTCTCTATATATAGATATTATTGTAATGCTTAGGTTTAGCTTTTCGTTAATAATATTTACCATTAACGAAACCAGTATCGTGGAACAATAATATGTCTCTGGATCACAATTACGGAAACAGTCGTGTATATGTTAAATTTACATATTAGTAATTTTTCATAAACATAAGATATAAAAAATATTCGAAGATTTTTGTAATATTAGATTTGATTTTATCATTATATTTGAGATATTTATATTAATTAAATAATATATTCTATTAATATTCTCTATCTATAAATATTGTAATCCGTTTGAATAATGAAAAATCCAATTCAAAAATTTGTTATTATATCTATAAAGGGGCGACTGGTTGCACCGCTGTCACATGCAAACGGAGCGGTTGCGATTTTCGGCGGTTGCGAGCGATTGAAAAAGTGACTGGTTGAACCGCTATCAACCGCAATCGCAACCAAACTTGTGTTTTCTAATCGCAGCTTCCAACTTGCGTTTTGGTAGCGGTTTCCAGCGTTTTGACCAAAAAACTAAAATATTTTTATTAGAAATTATATAAAACATTAATATATATATATTGGTGTTGATTTTGTTTAGTGTTATGATTTGATATTATTTTTCAGTATTATATTTTAATAAAAAATACAATAGTATACTTTTTAGGTTTAATAATGATTATTTTTAATAAATTTTATAATAAAATTATTTTTTACTTAAAAATAAATTAAATTGATATTATTTATATTTTAAATTTATTATTTAATTATTATAAATTTAGTAAATAATTTTTATCAAATGATATTGAAAATTTAATTAAAACTATTATAAAAAATTATTTTAAAATAATATTTTTTTTGACAATTTATATCAAAACGCAACCGCAACCGTAATGAACATTCACTTCTAATTGCACACACCCGCAATCGCTACTAACAGCAACTTATCAGCCAATCAGTACTAACCATTTATAATCGCTATCAAACGTTCTGAAAACGCTGTCACCCGCAACCGCAACCGCTGCGGTACAACCAGTCGAACCAAAAATATGGTAATATAGTAATGATATCAAGTCTAAATACTATATAATATCACAATAGAGGTAATAATACAAAGAGGTGGCAGAGATTTACCTCTTTTCATTCTTCCTTGTATAGAATCCGAGAGCTCTTGGCCAACATTTTCACAAGACTAAAATGTTATTTCCGATCACACTTTAATATCTTATTGCATGTTTAGAAATGACAAACAGTAAATGAGTGGATGACAATTAAAAAACCCTATATATACATCGGCCTACCCAAAACTATTTTTATGTGGGCCAATAATAATATATGTATAATTTTATATGAATAAACGTAATTTTATTGGGGGCCTTTATCAATATTATTTATTTTTATAAAAGTTATGAAGAAATTAACTTTTTTTAAATAATTATATGGGGACACGTGCCCCACTGTATACTAAATAGATCCCGTCCATATATATACACGCACATATACTGACTAGCAATAGTTATCGTTTTATTTGGTTAATTATAGAGAAGGTAGCATATTAATTATGAACTAAAAATATAATGTTTGGTGACTAATCAACAAGTCAAACTTTCTGGCAAGCCGGGGTTGTGCTGTGTACTTTACCCCAAAAGTCTTCGATTCCCTTAATCTCCCGAGGAATATGTCTAAATAAAGAAAAAACAGCATGAGAAAAAAAATATATTCCCTGTCATATTTCTGCGTGTAGTTCAATTATTTTAAGAAAATTATCTGCGATACACATATATATATATATATATATATACAAAAGAAAACATTCTTTTATCAATGTTAATATATCTTACCCAAAATGCAATTGGCGAGAGAAAGGGTGTTAGTGTGTGTGTGTATATATATATGTAGAGGAAGACAAGTGAAAAGGAAAAGCAAATCTAATCTCGTACATGTCTGTTTTCTCTCTCTAAAATGGTGGCTGTGTCGCAAGATTCCCAGAAAATATTGGCAGTGGATGAAGGCATTCCCACCATTGACATGTCGCTGGACAGATCACGAGTCTCTAGCGAGATAGTGAAAGCGTGCGAGACCGTCGGCTTCTTCAAGGTGGTCAACCATGGCGTTGACCCTCGCGTCATCTCCGCAATGGAGCAAGAGTCCATCGCCTTCTTCTCTAAACCGGCTCACGAAAAACATTCGGTCGGACCGGCGAACCGGCCTTTCGGTTATGGGTTCAGTGATATCGGCCACAAGGGTGACACGGGCGAGGTGGAGTATCTTCTACTTCAACCCAATCCCTCCTTCGTTTCTCTGCTCTCCCCCTCCATCTCCACCCACCCATTAAAATTCAGGTACGTATGTACACATTGATCTATTTACGCGTATATACATTTATGTGTACTAATACGTGTATCTATATATATATATATATATCAGCATCTCTGTTTATACTTGTGTATGTACCAAAATTTCAGCCCCTTGCATTCATATCTGCGCGATTGCATTGCAAGCCACGAGTCTCGTGTATATATCTATGTTATATATATATATATATATATCCCGATATGCACATATATCTATATATGTGTTTGTTAACAGATACAGAACTACATGTGTATCTATAGATTGATGCACTTAGATGCATGCATCTAGGTATACAGACTTCCATATACGTACATCGTATAATGCATTCGTAACTATTAGCATAATTGGGCTAAGGTGGCGCCTCGATATTGTTAAGTACTGTATATGAATGCATGGTTCATGTTATACGAAGAATAATATATATAAATGTAAACATACAGTCAAATATATATATATAATTTACCTTTTACCAAATATATATATATATATATGTATATATACACACCTAATAAAAATCATGTGAAGAAGACGGTTATTTGGCATGAATGATGGATGCTATAAGAAATAGTTTGGTATATTATGCAAAAATATCCAAACCCTCGACGCCATGCACAATTCAACAAACACCGAATGAATCATGATCAATAACTATAAAACAATATTCCATAACTACTCACATGGCTCCCACTCCCGAGATTAGTCTGGGCCGAAGCCCAGGAAACCCGGCTACCAAAAAAAAATATTCCATAACTACACTTGTGTAGAACATGCATGCTGGAGTTAATTCGATAACGGTCTGTATTGTGAAATAGAAGAAGGGCAATGAGTCGTTGCTTGGAGCTTATCTTATATCTGCAACGGACCAAAGCTACTCTGACTATATCTGTGTCTGGCATTCTGCTAGTTGACATTACAAACAAAGTCTCCCGACCCATCTTTTCACACATATATTACATATATATACACATTAACGGATAATACCCTTATATATATATATATAAAGCAAAACGATATATTTTCATAAAGATCTAAAAGTATATTATATTGTTTCGCAGTAAAAAGTAGGGCTGGGCGTTTCGGTTCGGTTCCGAAGAACCGAACCGAACCGAACCGAACCGAAAAAACGGTATTTTCTCGACCCGAAACCGTTCTTATAAATTCCCGAACGGTACCATTTTTAGAGAACCGAATTTTTTTAGAATCGAACCGAACTTTAAAAATCCCGAAAAACCGAATATTTTGAAAAAAAATCTATCCTTTTTTAATAAAATTCAGAACCGAACCGATACCGAAACTGAACCGAACCGAATACAATATAAAAACCGAATGGTATCTATTTTTGTAAAACCGAAAGAACCGAACCGATTCATTCCCGTCTCCGAACCCGAACCGTTTTTCGAAACGCCCACCCCCTAGTAAAAAGATTTATTTATTTAATAGGTTTCATTTTATTCCATTACTGATAATTAAAAATAATTAGTACGGGAAGATATGGAATTCTTTTTAATGCATGGGAGGGATATGTTGTGACGTGTCACGTTTGACAGCTCGGCCGTGAATTGTTACGTTGAAGCAATTGAGCAGCTAGCGTGTGAGATCTTAGAGCTGACGGCCGAGGGTCTGCGGGTCCCACCTCACACCTTCAGTCGGTTGATCAGAGCCGTAGATAGCGACTGCGTCTTGAGGCTAAACCACTACCCACCGTCCGATCAACTCCTGACCGGCGAGAAGCTCTCTGATTGGTCCACATCACTGCCCAGGGTAGGCTTCGGGGCGCATACGGACCCTCAGATCTTGACAGTGTTGAGATCCAACGGTGTTGAAGGTCTCCAAGTGGCCACCTCTGACGGTTCATGGGTCCCGGTCTCCCCTGACACATCAGCTTTCTGCGTCAACGTAGGCGACTTGTTACAGGTCCGTCTCCCTTTTTTTTCCTTTATTAATTGTGTTTATATGATTAATTATGAATTTACAAGTGGTTAATTTGCACCTTTTGCATTATAATTATTCTCATGGATTAAACCATGCTATTTGATCATTTTAATCGGATAATGGTGCTTAAATATTTGAAGGTCTTTTAGAGGCTAATATATCTTGATATTCTAAAATAATATAATTTAATTATTATTTTAAATTTATTATTTAAGAAGAAAGCAGTTTTAAGAGGAATTGAAGTGAGGAATAAGAGACTACTTTTAAGTGGGGTGGTTTGGGTTTGGTTCCAGTTTTAGTTTGGTTATATCGAGGTTCGATTTTATAAAATCTATAATATTTTGGTTTATATATCAAATTTGATTCTATTACATTGGGTTTTATTCCGTTTAGAGGTTTGATTCGATTTCGATTTTTATTGATAAAACTATTTATTTATCAACAAAAATTCTGATTTTTCAATTATTTTTTAATCCGTTTTGAATTACATTTTTTCGACTTTAAAGAAATGATAATCATTTAGTTTTTATAATGGATTTGATTGAATTATGATTATATATTATTTGTATCGGATCAGATCAATCCCATTACACGGTACTGTTGTTGAATTTTTGGATTTTTGGAAGGTGATGACGAATGGGAGGTTCAAAAGCGTGAGACACAGGGCGGTGACGACGAGGCAGGGAAGAAGGATGTCGACAGCGTACTTCGCAGGGCCGCCGCTGTCGGAAAGGATAAGCCCTCTCCCGGACGTGTCGGCCGAGCAGCCACGGCGGGAGTACAGGTCCTTCACCTGGGCCGACTACAAAAACCTCGCCTACTCCCTTCGTCTTGGCGACGACCGCCTCACTCTTGTCCGTGCTTGTACGGACGACCACACTCCCATTGCTTTCTAGTTGTTTCTTCACTGTTTCTGTTTTTTTTTTTTAGGTAGACCAGTGAATTGTCTCTGTGTGTCTTCTCTCTCTTTGGAACTAGTTTCAGCAGTTTCTGGGGACAGCTTTAATGAAGTGTTTATATGTTTATATATTTCTTTAATTAAACGCTGTAAGACATACACACACACAACAAGATGCATGCATGCATGCGTTGCGTGTGTATATTATGGCCTTGGAATCACACACAAAAAACCCTAAAACAACAAAAAAAATCCTCAGAGGAATCACAACAGGCAACATCCGATGAAAACCTCAACTTAAATTCCTCGCATCAGTTTGTGTTTATGTCCTCCGCAACAAAACTACCAAAACTTTAGGAATCTTTGTCTCTGCTCTCTCTCTCTCTCTGAAACAGCCACAAACAAGATCAAGAAAAAAACGAAACACATAACAAAAATGTCTTCTCTTCTTGTTTTCTTTTTATTCCATTTTATCCCGCCTTGAATCAGAGAAGTAATGTCAGCAAAATTATCTTCAATTGGGCCAAAGAATCTGTGCTGATATATATACACACACCGCCAGAACTCTCATCAGTTGCCTCCTAGCAAGGCCTGTAACCGAACCCGGGCTTCATCAGAAACGAAGAACCGTGATTTCCTTCTCTGCGTTGGCTGGGTCAGAGGTTTGACAGCAGAGAAGCACACAACCACGGCCGTTAGATTGTCCGAAGAGTCAAGCCTCATCGCCTCTTTCACAAGCTCCATCGCGCATTTTCTCGGGTCGTCATGCCTCCGGAGCCCTTGTCTGACAAGACTAACAGCATACTGGCTCGACATCACGTCCCATATGCCATCACATCCCAGAATCAAGAACTCGTCTTCCTCTCCAAGAATGATCTGTTGAACGTCCGGTTCAGGGATTAGGGGAGAAGAGGTGCCAAAGGGAGGAAACTTCTTCATTTCCCAGTCCCCGAGGGCCCGGGTGATAGCCAGAACCCCGTTGAGATATCCATCCTCAAAGTATCCTCCTAAATCCTGTACCCGCTTGCGTTCTGGCTCGAATGTCGACCGGTGATCAAATGACATCTCGACAGCCACTCCTTTCCGGGAGAGCACTGCACGGCAATCACCAGTGTTAGCGACCAATAGGTGCTGTCCAATTACAAGGGCTGTCAAGGATGTTGTCCCACATGAGCCATTCACAATGCTTTCGTCAGCCATGGCGAGATCAGCCAAGAGATAAGCTTTCCGATGAGAATTCTCAAGCTCTTTCAAGAAAACGGCATTCATGATGGAGGGCATTTCAGGAAAATCGGCGTCATGAAAGAACAGTCTTGTTGCATTCTCTTTCATGTAAAGTGCTGCCTCGGGTCCGCCATGGCCATCAAACACGCCGTAGAAAGCACAAGGAACCGAAAGATTGAAGACATTAGATCCAAGATGAGCTGAGAGATCGTCTATGCATATGTGTTCGTCATCCATGGAGTCTCGGCAGCCGATGTCAGCAAAACTTCCAGAACGTAACACAGGGACAAAAGCAGCGACAGGTTCTCCGATAGTAGTTGCAGAGCAACTCATGACCTGCTTGAACATAATCACAGAAAAAGATGCATAAGAAATTGCAAGGTCTGCTAGTTCAAAGCTTCACATAATAAAGGGAAATTCAGGCAAATATACTTAAACGATTCACAAGGCATTCAAAGCTGTTTCTATGGCAACAAGAACATTGATCCATGAATGTTACATCAGCAAATTTCAAAATATGGTAAATCCACACAATTTTTCTGTTTGTGAGGCTCCAGGCAGAAAAGGGCAAAAGAAATTAGACAGGAAACTCGCGAAAAGCCACCGACTTAAGCCAAGTCATGATTCAGAATTGACTATTACTAAGATCTTTTGCGACGACATCTCCTGAAGAACCTAAATGCTAACTCCTATCTAGGACGACCAAACGGGATTACAAGGAAGAAGAAACGAACTTCAATTGGACCCAACGTGCGTTTTCATCGGAATATCTGAAACCGCAGGGACCAGAGGAACTAAGAAAATCAAGAACAAAAAGGGTCCAAGCATCAAAACTGAAAAGCAGCGATCTAGATCCCGAACCCAAAGACATACCGATTCGAATTGAAGCGATTCAGCAGAACCCGAAATCTCAGCACATGTCGACCCAGCGACACGAACTTCGCCGATCTGAAAATTGTTCTGCTCTTTGCCGACGGAAACATGACACTTAACGTCAAGAACCCTAATCTCAGCCTCCGTGGCGATTGTTTGGCTCAGAATCATGGTTTTTTTTCTCCCTCTCTCCCGAGCAAATCCGAATGAGAGATCTCCAAAAGCAAATCACGTATAAAGCCGAGAAATTTGGGCTGCAGAAGCTTTGCTTGGACGCAATTGAAATTCGCGAAGAATAAGAATATGGGAACGTAGGGTTTGATTTATGCGTTGGGTGTTCCGTTGCCGTCTTCTCCTGGGCAATTAGGGATTTTGATTCCAACAGCCATGCGGATACGCATTTTATAATTAAAATAACAAAATTTAATAATATAATATGCGAAAATATTTTGACGCATGGTTTCACTATTAACCCACCGCATGGCACATGGCTCATTTCTATGATATCATACCTTCTTCAAATACAAAAACAACATTTTTTTAGACGAAAATATCCTTTTAGACCATGTCTATGTTCCGTTTATTTAAGTTTTTTTAGGTTAAAACCAATAAAAATTTCTAAATTTATAGAACAGTGTAAAAGAGATTTTTAATTTTTTTACTAGATAAATTTATTCCTAAATTTATAAAATATGTTATTATAATTCCCAAACTTATAAAATATATCATTATAATTCGTTAACTTGTTAATTGATTTCAGAAAAAACTCTAAAGATATTGATTCAAATTTTTTTTTTATCATAAATGGAAATTATAATGAGTTTTGAAAATAATTTATTTTCCACCATTTTACAAATTTAGAAATTTTGATGTGTTTTACCTTTTTTTTTTTAATGTTCCGTTTATTTATGAATTAAACACGTTGTTTTGATTTTACAAAATAATGGGGAGAAAAACTTGATCTGGATGATATATAATAATAATAAAATAATTCAATCTATAAATGTTGGCAACTGAAAATTGAAAACCAAATATAAATTATTCCAAAGGGTTGTTGAGTTGAGATAAGATTATATCTAGAAGCAACTCTTTCTGTCACGTGAACCCGCAGGAAAACAAGTAGAAAGCCCATTGGATGTTTATTATGTCAAATCACTTAATGGGCCTTTTATGAAGGCCCAAATTGTTGTTGGGCTCAATTATGGTGGTTCGGTCCAATTCGGATTTTAAAAAAAGCATTGCGATTTAATATCACTGTAAACCCGACAAATAAAAAGAACCGTCTTTCCTTTCGAGTGTGAACTCCAAACACTGTTTTTTTAATAAAAAAAAATGATAATCCTTAGGATAATAAAAAATAATAATAATAAAAATAGATAAATCTCTCACCCGTGATCGTGATTCGGGATGCAACAACACAAGGCAAACCCGTGAGTCTCAGACTCACACGTGCCACCTCCTCAATTTCTTATCATTATTTAATTTATTTTTTTAGTTAAATATTTAATTTTATAACTAATTTGGATATATCTGTACATGTAGTTGAAACCAATACTATTAACTACTATTTAAATCAAAATTATATGATTAAATATTTGATAAAGCCCTTGTAGAGCTAATCATGAATTATACGATACACATAATTTAACGATTACCAGCTTTTATATGTCTCCTTATGAATGAGTACCAAACGTTTTTTATATACACACAATCATGAATCATATACATATATATCATATATACACGTACATATAATATATATATATATATAACATACACATTCTTATAATATATATATATATAACATACACATTCTTTTGCCGACCACAAAAGGGCGCTAATATTACATATATTTGGCCTTGACGTATATTCATTCACCTTGGTTACCGATTATCAAATATACATACATACATATATATATATATATATATATATATATATATTCACCATGTTAAACCAAAAAATATATATTCACCTTGAGTAATCTCTTCCTCTCATTTTTTTCCTTGCGGCAAAAGGATCAGGGACGAACACGTGTCCGATCTCACGCAGAAAGCAGCCACTAACTGAGAGCGTGCAGGGCGCGTGGAATTGAGGGCTCCACGTGGCGTAGTTGTAAGCCACAAACCCTTCTTACCCCACCCGTGAGAGGATCAAACACGTGACAGACACAGACAAAACTTGCTTTAAAATTATTAATTTTATTATTACAGTCAATGCATGCAAAGTTCGTGGAATCTGTAAATAACAACAGCTTATTATTCGACGTACAAATGAGGGTTTAATCGTTTTTAACGTAACGACCCACTAAATCATTTTCCTCGTCGACAAATACGAATGCAAATGTACATATACACGTGTACGTAACCACGTACATATGTATATATATATACACACACACATCAATATACTCAAGAAATCAAAAGGAATATTCCTTTGCGTGTGTATGTATGTATGTATATATAGAAGCTTGATAAAAAAAAAAGGGACAATAAATTCGGAAGCATTCCTCATGTTCCCGTCCTAACGTCTTCTTCGTCCACAAGAAAAAGGTTCAACTAAAATACAACAAAGTGTCACGAGACTTGTACACATTCCCTTTCCCTATTCACTCATCCATCCATTCATTCCTTCATTCAAACATTCATCCACGCATTCATTCATTCGGTCAATCTATGGGGAGAGGTAGTATTATACATCAGAACCCATCCAAGGAAAACAAAAAGACATATCAGATCATCCATGAGAAAGAATGAAGATAAGATCTTGACATCAACAGCTTCTCAATCCACAAGAAAGAAAAGAAGAAGACTACATTCATTCCAGCATCAAGCCGTCCAAGAGAATAATCAGGAATTCCATCAACCAATAAAGACAACACATCCATATTTGGATGTATATAAGCAAAACATCCATCCTGGATCACACATCTATTCTTACAAGGCCAAAACGTTGACCAATAAAGGGCAGAATGAATCAAACCATCTCCTGAACCCTGTGAACTACCCACCTAAAAGATCCATATATATATATATATATATATATATATATATGTGTGTGTGTGTGTGTGTGTTCATGTGTATGTATAGACTCATATTAAATATTTGCCGAATTTCCATTTTCTGTCATTTTTTTCCTTCCATATTCGATATTCCATGTACCACACCACATATTTGATATAATTCCTTTTATTAAATGAAACTCGCCAAGTTTGGCCGTATCGCAAGATTATCATTTTTCTGCATGAGTTGGCTCGCTATAAATACATAACATATATATCATAGGTGTATATATAATAGAATTATGTAGGCCTTTTTAAAAAAAAAATCCCTAGAGGTTATTTGTTATTTCGAAACTTGTGTATTATAAAGATAATCTTATATATTAAATATGATTCATGATCTCAACCCCATCATGGTTCTTTTTGTTTTATGCCGCGTAACACATTCTACATAAAATCACAGTTAAAAGATCCAATTCCGAATTTAAACTAACAAAATCTAATCATATACTAATCAGTCAAAGATTAATATTGAATATATGCATTAACAATATAGATTGTACAGTGATTTAATATATATATATATATATATATAATGATGATGATGATAGAAGATTTAGATACTTCTGCAAGATTTTAAATCTATAAAGCAACTGGAAAAGGACCTTCAACTAATTCCAAGATTCCATATACAAGCGGAAATATATAAATTCAAAAAATCATATATAATGTAACTGCACTAAAATTCTGGCATAGTACAATTATTGATGAAACATATTTTAGGATCATCCATGTACCGGAATTATATAAAAAAAAATGAATTTTAAGCATTGATGCTGAATAACTCATTTTTATTATTATTATTATATATGTATGTATATATACACACACATGTTATATATACTGTAGATACAAGCCAGAATACATCAAACAGAAGAGACAAATTAGCTGTTACGTGTAGGTACTACGACAATTTTATTAGAAAATATTTTCAGGAAAAATCCAATTAGAACGCTATTGAGTAATCACTTTTTGTCCCCTTTTCTATGTTTATTTCTCCTAAAACGGTCGATGTAACCTTTCTTTCTTCTCTTTTAACATCTAACATAATATAACACTCTAACCCTTGCATTTAAGCTGAATTTCATAATAAAATTGATACCAATGTTTTTTTTAAAAAAATTTATGATTAAATTAAATATTAAACCATGATGCGATTATGCAAAAACTCTGTTACAATTACAATTTGTTACCCCGACCAACCCCAACCAATCTTTTGTAGTATTACAATATTTGATCGGTACCGATTTAGCTCAATTTAAATCCACCTAAATCTAATATTTTATGAAACAAATTTCAACCAATTTATTGAGAAATTAAATATTAAAACAAAGGGTATGGGAATGATAATATTTGATATATAATCCAAGATTATATGGCTCAATTAGTAAAAATAGAATAAAGTTTTTTACCAATTTAAGTTCGAGTTTGAGTTTGTAGGAGAGATATTTATATGGATTTCTACTATTTTTGAAAGATTTAGAATAAAGTTTTTTACCAATTTAAGTTCGAGTTTGTAGGAGATATATTTATATGGATTTTTACTATTTTTGAAAGACTTATTTAGGTCAAAACTACCGTGAATTTTTGGATTATTAAAAAAACCATTGATATATAATAGAAAATTATAACTAAAGTCGAATATCGTACATTATAAAACTATTTTCACTTGTGAAAAATAGGAGCAGAAATAACTAACAGAAGAAGACAAACAAATAAATAAATCCGACAAGATCTCAGAACATATGTAACATGAGATCACTGGGACCACGTGACACAGAGCCAAACTAAGACGACGACTAACGGCATCAGAAACGCACGCAAAAAAGTAACTTAAATTTAAGGCGGCAATAAATTTAATTATAATAATAACTTTGAGAGAAAAAAAAGGTAAGAACATAATGTAAAATTTATTCATATAAAAACTCCCAAAAATAAAAACGATTGACAAAAAGACGATCCATCAAAATTAGAATTCGGCTAGTTACACCAAAAAAAAAAAAACATTAGACCCACCACTCCAGAATCAACCATGTGTCGACACGTGTCCTCCTCTCCCACTTCGCCACCGGAAACACTCTGTTTCTGTCCCTATAAAACAGCAGAGCAACTCTCTCTCCGCTTCGAAGCTCTCTTCCAACTCAACTTGCTCATTCTCTCTCTGTCTCCTTTCTTTGCAAAATCGTCTTCCATTTCCACTGGTCACCATAACTAGAAGCTTCCTCCAAGCAATGCGCGTTCTCCGTGGCACTCTCGTGATTTACATCGCCATTGCTGTCCTTTCCGGTAATCTAATATGCGGCGCCCGGGGAAGGCCGCATTACCACAAGAGATCGAAAGTTCAAGCGAACCCGCCAAGCGTGCCGTCGGACCCGTACCCGTATCCGACACCGGGAACCGACCCGGCTCCAGCCCCGGACCCGGTGCCAGGTGATTCGGAACCCTGCGTGTTCGACGTGACGTCGTACGGGGCGGTGGGAGACGGGTCGTGCGATGATACGGCGGCGTTTAGAGCGGCGTGGAAAGCGGCGTGTGGGGTTGAGTCCGGCGTCGTTTTGGCGCCAGAAGGCGGAGTATTCAAAATCACATCCACAATCTTCTCAGGGCCGTGTAAACCGGGACTCGTATTTCAGGTGAAATATGGTTTTTTAAAAATAGTTTATTTTTTCTCTTTTGGTTTGGGGATTATAATTATAATAAAAAATGAAGGTGGACGGGGTGGTGATGACTCCGGACGGACCGGAGGAGTGGCCGGAAGCGGACAGCAAGAAGCAGTGGTTGGTGTTCTATAGACTGGACGGCTTCCGTCTGAAGGGGAAAGGGACGATCGAAGGGAATGGCCAGAAGTGGTGGGACCTACCTTGCAAGCCTCACCGCGTGCGTATCCTCTCTTTGTATCAAATTAATCAAATTTATATGCTGATATAATATGTTGTTGAATCATAATTATGTTGTAATGGTTCAGGGGCCGAATGGATCAACAGTCTCCGGACCATGTGACAGCCCTGCCGTAAGTGTGTATATATATATATCACATTCCCCACTATCCACTCTCAAATCACCCATTTTATAATTATTATTTTTGTTATAATAATAGATGATAAGGTTTTTCATGAGCAACAACATAGAGGTGAGAGGGGTGAGGATAGAGAACAGCCCGCAGTTCCACATGAAGTTCGACGGATGCGAGGGAGTCCACATCAACGAGCTCCAAATCTCGTCCCCAAAGCTAAGCCCCAACACCGACGGCATCCACATCGAGAACACCAGATCCGTCTCCATCTACAACTCCCTTGTCAGCAACGGTGACTAACCCCCCCTTTTTCTCCTTTTAAAGAACATACCCAAATGATTAAACAAGGACAGAGATTTGGTTGAGATAATGGAGAATATGTTGGAAAGAGATGGCAGATGGTGAAATGACGATGATGATGGTGATGATAAAACAGGGGACGACTGCATATCCATTGGGCCTGGATGCTCTGACGTCGACATCGACGGTGTGACATGCGGCCCCAGTCACGGCATAAGGTTCCCCTTTCCCTCGACCCCTTTTTTTTTTCCTTTTATACATGTGTATCATCATACATGACATGTCATCACATGGATGTCATCATCATGATGCAGCATAGGGAGCTTAGGGGTGCATAACTCGGAGGCATGCGTACGGAACATAACAGTGAGGAACGTGGCGATAAGAGAGTCGGACAACGGGCTGAGGATAAAGACGTGGCAGGGTGGAACCGGCTACGTCGGGCAACTCCTGTTCGAGAACATAGAGATGGAGAACGTGAGGAACTGCATCATCATCGACCAGTACTACTGCATGTCCAAGGAGTGTCGGAACGAGACATCGGCTGTCCGGGTGGACGGGATCGAGTACCGAAACATCAAGGGCACTTACGACGTGAGGAGCCCGCCGATCCACTTTGCGTGCAGCGACACGGTCGCATGCACGAACATAACCATGTCGGAGGTGGAGCTCTTGCCGGAGGAAGGAGAGCTCGTCGACGATCCTTTCTGCTGGAACGCTTACGGCACACAGGAGACGCTCACCATCCCTCCCATCTCCTGCTTGCTCCAAGGCTTCCCCCCCTCCTCCCAGTTCTACTCCGATCCCTCCGACTCCAACCTCACCTGCTGATCCTGCCGGAAAAATCCTTAATAACACACATATGACCTATATGATTACATTCTCCTATACATATATATATGTACGTATGTATCTTGTGGTAGATGGGTTGATTCCTCAACCAATGATATTCTACAAATGCACGCCATTTTTGCCCAATCACTTCGTTTCATAATGTTCTCATCTTCCTCTTCTTTTTTTTTGTTTTTTTTTTTAAAGAAGAAGATTCGGTCAGGACAAGTAGAACAGCGACCCCCATGGAACAGAAACGTAAACAGGAGACCTAGTCTAGTCTAGTAGTACTGTCTGAGAATTCAACTCCAAAGTGAAAAGGCCAACAACGACTTCATTATATACACATAATACATATCATGATACAACATCAAAATGGTAACATACCAATCCCATCTCCATTCCAGCACTGGGTTTGCTCTGAACAGCCCCCGCCCATATCCCATCTGCGGATGAAGCAAACGACTTAGAAAACGCGTCAGGTAATGAGAAACATTTCAAGAAAGAAGGGTATGTGCTGATAAGTTTCTACCTTCTGACGAGACAGTGATACATTGGGTTTTTCGGGGAGAAAAGAGTCAGCTTGTAGCTGTCATATCCCTTACACGCTCCAAAACACGAACAAACTGAGTGAACAGAGAGAAGTCTTCAAATTCGAGAGGTATTCTTTCAGAGTGTTCTTTAGATAAATCAGGTGGAGTCGGAGGGTTTTGACAGATGATGAGGTCAAACCCGCCAAACCTCTCCACCAGAGTCTCCAGCTTCTTGGTCTTTAGGCTCTGTATTTCTTCAATCTGTACAAGCTCCCCAGGTTGTCCTGATCTCTGCCACCATTTCTTCAGGATGCTACGGCTCAATCCACATGGCTCCACTGAGACAACCCCTTTAAGTTTGATGCCAAGCCGGTCCAATGCAACTTCTGCACCACCGATCCCACTAAAGATTGATAACACCGTTATCCCGGTAGGAAACATGCCCTTGAGCACAGATAGATGGTAACCCACTGTGTCTGTTTGGAAGCAGTATTCAAACAATTTCAATCTTTCTGCAGACCGAGTTCCACTGATATCCGTGTGGCTAGAGGGATATCCCAGGATGCGCTCTAGATGTTCAGGCTCCATAGGTGAGAGGATTCTTGGGGCGATCCATATCAGGTTTGAGGCATAACCTTGATGAAGGATCAGTTTCCGTTGCTGTTCAGAAGGAATTCCCCTTGATTCAGCGAGAAGGTGTCCAAGTCGGTCACAAAGCTGAGATTCTCTGCCTGTACTGGAACAGATTCCATTAAAATGCTTCCGGATATCCCAGGATGGCCACCAACTCTTCAATTGCGGCAGTGCATCTTGCATCGATGTAACCGGCTTTGGGAGGATATGGAATCGATTCTCTGTGGGAAGATTGTGGACATACCCCTCTTTCCTGCAAGATTATCATTTTTCTGCATGAGTTGGCTCGCTATAAATACATAACATATATATCATAGGTGTATATATAATAGAATTATGTAGGCCTTTTTAAAAAAAAAATCCCTAGAGGTTATTTGTTATTTCGAAACTTGTGTATTATAAAGATAATCTTATATATTAAATATGATTCATGATCTCAACCCCATCATGGTTCTTTTTGTTTTATGCCGCGTAACACATTCTACATAAAATCACAGTTAAAAGATCCAATTCCGAATTTAAACTAACAAAATCTAATCATATACTAATCAGTCAAAGATTAATATTGAATATATGCATTAACAATATAGATTGTACAGTGATTTAATATATATATATATATATATATAATGATGATGATGATAGAAGATTTAGATACTTCTGCAAGATTTTAAATCTATAAAGCAACTGGAAAAGGACCTTCAACTAATTCCAAGATTCCATATACAAGCGGAAATATATAAATTCAAAAAATCATATATAATGTAACTGCACTAAAATTCTGGCATAGTACAATTATTGATGAAACATATTTTAGGATCATCCATGTACCGGAATTATATAAAAAAAAATGACTTGAGATCTTAGACCACCAGTGAGGAGAAGTATTTGCGAAATTCCCGTAGAAGAAATATGGGCTCCTTGCCACCCCTGGGTCAAGAGTCTGAGATAAGCGTGGCTGCAATGCTTTTGGAATGTCATATGCGTCTTCTTTTGACTCGATATTCTCTTCCATCCACGGGGTTTCAAAAAATGAACTCGAGCTTCCCATATAATCTGGTCTTAGTCGTTTCCCTCTATCATCAAAATCGGTATATGCCTCTGGATAGGCATCTCCATCCTCATCTTTCAGTCTTTTACCTCTTGAGGTTTCCTCCACAGAGCCAATGTTCTGGGAAGGAAGAGAACCACAACCACTGTCTGGCTTTATATTCACTTTGCCAGTTGAGGAACTCCCCCGATCATCTTTCCTCTCCGCACCAAGAAATCTCCAATTCTTTGAAGGACGTGCATCATTCCCCGCAAGAGGCCCAGAAACTTTCTACAGTGGCACACATATCATTGAGGGAAAACTCCAAATCTATGTAGTGAAAGGGGTAAAAGATGCCAAAGCATTTGATTGCTTGGAAAAAAACACTGCAGTCTGATTAGCAGAATAGGTCTAGTTCCAACATTGCAATCCATCATTATTCTTTTTCGGTGGTTTAGGGACCATAACCAACAAGAGCGTCATTTAAGCATTGGAAAGAAATTCGATTATTGAATTAGAAAGAAATATTACCTCTTCTATCTCTTCAGGGTCACCAGGAACTTCACCAGTAACAATCATCTCAGCAAGCTCAGAAATCTGACCTTTCGAGCCTGATCAGAAACCAAAAAGATTAATGTACAGCAGAACCAGACAGTAAATTGACTATCATGTCATCCGACCATAATTACAATCATGCCCAAATCGATAAACCAAAAACTTCCTGCAACGTCAAGTATATATCATAGCAGGCAACAAGGTCATAGGTCATCTTCTCTCTCATACACAGTTCCAGGCATAATAAACCAGAAATATTTTAAGTTGCCCACCTAGCTTGTCAACAGCTAATGAAATTTCATGATCAGTGAATCCCATTTCCAGCAAATGCAAAGTTTTGCCCATTGTCTCGAATAAGAATTCATCAGAAACCTGGTTGTTCAAGAAAAGATGATGAGTATGACATAAATTAGTCAGAATGAAACATTATGAGTCAAAACAAAACTATTGGTACTAAAACCTAGGTTCTAACAACTATCAACAGAAGGTTAAGATCAGCAGGTACCAAGACAGACACTTGGTTACCAAGACTGGACAAAAGGTGGATTATGTATTTATTTCGAAAATGCCACAAAAAGCTTAAATGGACCCTCTACTAAGGAAAAACGTGTTCGGCCAAACAAGAAAGTACTGGCAATGCAATAAAAAACTAATGAAGCATCACCAAAGACCTCAGGTCTCTTAGCAGCAGCAGCACCACCAGCAACAGGTACTACATCAGGTTCTTCTTCACAACTTTGGTCTGATTCTTCCTCTAATTTTTCAGCTAACTGGGCAGCAATAATGAAATCAACCATCTCATCAATTGGTGCATCTTTACCTGCAATGAAGAATCAACAATAAGTAAGAAAGATGGTCAACATGACACATAAATATTGAGAAGCTTGATACTGGTGACAAAAATAAAACCTAGTGATTTTCCAATATCTGTATCTCTATATTTCCAGATAGTGCAAGCATAGATTTTCTAGAAGATATGAGCAGCTTACTGCAACGGACTAATGGGATTGAATTTCAGTCATTGAGCAGAACTCAACCTACATCACCACAATCATCATTTCTCATGCTAAAAGTGAATACAATGATCTGCTATTTGGAGTTCATATACCTTCAGTGTTTCATTACCTCGGTATTTCCATTGGCGAATGAATTCCAGAACTAACACACAATTAATGTTGAAAGAAATATCACTTTGTTGCAATAGTCACATTTTAGACATTTTGGCAATTGCTGCGAATAATAGACCTCTATAGTACTTTCTCTCTCTATCAATTCTATTATCACCTTATTACCAAACTCATGGAACAAAAAAAATAATAATAAGGTTGAAAACCCTAAAGGAGCAAAATTAGATCTCAAAGCCACTATGATGCTAAAAGGATTACCAAGCTTATCTATAGCTAAGTCGACCAAATTTTCTGGAAAGCTCATTGTTAGTAACGCCATTCTTCTGTCTTCATCCTCATGAGCAACCCCAGGTTCCTGCAAAAGAAAGGCAAGAGAAAGTATAGAAATCTGACCAGATGGAAAGTAATCCTGCCGCCTGCATCACATTTTACCCGCTTTTACCTGTTTGGGTCTAATAAGCCCATCCATACTCTTTCCAGGATGCTTTACTACAGATTCCTTCATGAGAGTCTCTAGTAATAAGTCAATATCATCTTCACCTGGATGAACAAAAGCAACCACATTTAGGCAAAGCCTACAAGTAAACATTAGCACAAAAACACAACTCGTAGGACTAATATTAACTGTTTAGGTACCTTTTTCTTCGATTGCTTTCTGAATAAGAGATGGCTGAAATCCCATCTCAATCAGCAGTGACCTCACATTACTTCCAGAAGAACTAGCCGCATTGTCCTGAATATCAAATGAGACATGATAGCCAAGAATCTTTTAGGACTTCTGCAAGTTGGCTAGATTCTGTCTGTTTTCCAGACAAGGCTCTCCCAAGAAGTAACACTTATGTCACTTTCCTCAAGGCAAAATGGAATACGATAAAGATTACAACCTAACTTACAGCCAAATATAAAAAGAAAATTCAGCCTAATGAAAAATATTCCAAAGTTCACATTGATAAGTTTAGAGAATGTAGCATACACCAAACTGCTGAGAGTATGTGGTATCACATGGCAAGTCAAAATCCAAGGTTTCTGCTTTAGGCATCAGTATCTGTTCATCCCTTTCATGCTCCGAGGATCCTCCGCTACCCACAAATCCTCGCATGTCACCCTGCAAGATTCTCAAGCAAATGAACCCATCGACAAATTGTTTATAAGAACTCTAAATCAACCGAATTCCATACCATTGCCAGATACTACAAAAACGGCCACGAGCAACAACGGCCACAGCCAGACACCACCAAGAAGTTCACATGAAAATCTACATGAACGGATGAAAAGTTAACAACTCGGGATCGATCGAGTACGGGAATTTTAAGCACATAACCTATAAACAACCATCCGACAGATGTTCCTCAAACCATTAATCAAGGAATTTCGCCCGGAAGCAGGCATACCCAGAAAGAGGAAGGAGAAGGGGGAGTCGTAAAGAACCCTAAACCCAGGCACTGCATTCTTTGCGAACTAAAACCCTAAACCCACGAACAACCGTAGAGTATCCCTAAATCCAGACAAGGGCGACGTTGATCGAGAGATACAAGGAACACAACAAAAAAACGTCTGATCAAGGCTGGATTGGAGAGGAAAGAGGAGCATTTAACAAGCGGTGGCCAGCGACTCACCAGATCGAAGCGAAGCCAGAGAGCACGGGCTAGAGAGAGTATCTGCTGGGTGGCGCGTGGCGAACTGGAAATGGGAACTTCAAATGGAATATGGCGTCGTAAGAGAGGGTATTCCAACGATAATGGAGAGACACGAGACAGAAGGGGTTTCCTCCCCCTGGTCTGATGATTTTAATGGCAACTGAGAAGCGTGGTTATTAGGAGACTGAAGGGTCTTTTCCTACAAAAGATATGATCAGACTGACCGCGACAACTTCTCAACTAAGACACGACAAATGTTGGAACTGGTGAAGAGGCATTAATCTCCATGAGCATTATGCACAATAATACGAGTTTTTTTTATAATCCAAAAATTAATCGATTTTTCGTTTCAATTATACCTTAAAACAATAATGATTTTGAATTCGAATATTTTTTACCCCATTTTTATCAATTGAGTCACCCAATTTGATTATAATATAATAAAGAGTTGCTCATGATCTACTATTATTAGATAGATACACAATGTTTGGTAGAATCTGTATTTTTCATCGGATGGGAAATCGTATTTAGAAGAAGAACCAAAAAGAGAAGAAAATTGGAGATGCGGGGGATCGAACCCCGTGCCTCTCGCATGCAAAGCGAGCGCTCTACCATTTGAGCTACATCCCCTTTCGTTTCAGGTATTAGCTTAATTAAAACTTTATCAGTGATAACCATCAATTCGAACAGTAACCGAAAAGACAAATTTACAAACCAGAAAATTTGTTCTGTAGTGAAACCCACCGACAGCCCGAGACACCGTCATGTTTCCCGAACAGACCGTGGAGTAAAGTTTAAGTTTGAAGAAGTCAAGAGAAAAACGCAAACGTGGCCGAAACCAAGAGAGCAAATGCATGCAAATGCCACGTTCTGCTCATGCACACAACTTCTCTTATATATGTGTTCACTCCCATAACACATATATACACACACTATAATATATATAACACCAGCTACAAGCTAAACGAACACACACACACAAAAGAAAGTTGTAATAATAAGATTAAGAGAGAGGAAGGGAAAGATGCCCGGGATAACAATAGGAGACACGGTTCCGAACCTTGAGGTGGAGACGACACAGGGCAAGCTCAAGCTCCACGACTACTTCGCCGATTCATGGACCCTCCTCTTCTCCCACCCCTGTATGTACTATACTCCTTTATATATGTGTATGTATGTCAGTACTCAGTATGTATATATATTGTTTGATTTGGTTGGAGGTCGTCACTTCTCTCTGTGTGTACATGTGTGTAGCGGATTTCACGCCGGTTTGCACGACGGAGCTCGGGGCAATGGCCAAGTATGAGTCCGAGTTCCACAAGAGAGGGGTCAAGCTCTTGGGCTTGTCCTGCGACGACCTTGGCTCTCACAGAGAGTGGATCAAAGACGTCGAGGCCTTCACGGTATACATACACGATATATTATCACTTATATAGATCGATACCAATAATTAAATGATTTTTTTCTTTTTGTGGGATGATATGTGTATTATAAAATAGCCAGGGTGTAAGGTGACGTATCCGATAATATCCGACACGAGCAGGGAGATCATTCCTCAGCTCAACATGGTAGATCCGATTGAGGGCGATGCTGGAAAGATTGTCCCGTCTCGTGCTCTCCATATCGTCGGCCCCGATTTCAAGGTCCTCTATACATATATATACAGTAAACATCCTAATAGTATATATATATATATATATATATATATAGTATACGTGATATATGTGTTTTTAAAATATGCAGATAAAGCTGAGCTTTTTGTATCCATCGTCAACGGGGCGGAACATGGAGGAGGTGATAAGGGCATTGGACTCGCTCCTGATGGCATCGAGACACAAAGTGGCGACACCCGTGAACTGGAAGGCGGGCGAGCCTGTCGTGATTTCGCCGTCAGTGTCGGACGAGGAGGCCAAGAAGCTGTTCCCTCAGGGGTTCGAGACCGTTGACCTTCCCTCCAAGAAGACCTATCTCCGTTTCACCACTCCCACTTGAGAGGATGTCGTCTGATATATGGAATAAATATATGGTGTCATATACATTATATATATATATATATAATACATCATCAGACGCTGTATGGTTGGTGGTATATATGGATAGACCATGGACCGACTCCATGAAAGAAATGTTTTTTGTAAAGCTTACAGATCTGAAAAAAAAAATGGGTTTTTAATCGAAGAATATACGTATGTACAAGTCCTGGTAATCAATGATGAGAATGGTTATATCGAATTTAGATAACCGACATTTAGTTAAATTTGTCTTTGATCAGTACCACAGATTGTGATTTACAACCGTGTCAGATGGTAGATGATGATATAAGGATTTGGATCACATATCTATTTTTATTGTTAAATTAAAGATCATAATTGATTTAGAGGGTAAACTATAAATTCAGGAATCAAGGGTCGATGGTGGATGGAGCTGTTTTTAATATTAAATAATAATTTTCGAATGAGAGTACTTTTTATCATATGAAAACTCTATCCATTGTTCATACGAGTTAAATCTTTCCTGAGAGAGAGAAGAATTAAATTATGGGGCCAAAGAAAGAACTTGAGTTGTTTTTATCTGTACCAAGATTTTAGTGTGAACATTTCGAATTCGGTTGTTTCGGTTACCAAAAATTATATTCAAATGGTTATGTAGATTTAATCGGTTCGATTCGGTTTTAACACAAAAATTATAATCAAACGGTTAAATGTATATTGATTCGGTTCGATTCGATTCAGTTTTAATAATTCTGTTCGGTTATGATAGATTTTAAAAAATGAATAATAAATCTCCAAAAAACTTCAAAATAATCCATCCAAACAAGTTTATAAAATAATTAATCCTCAAAAAATTGCAAGATCTTTTAATTTCATCATGATATTAATGATGAAAAATGATCAATCCAAACCCTAAACTATAAAATATTAGTATTCTAAAATGATTAATCCCAACTACAAAATATTAACAACACTCAAAATGATCAAGTTCTCTCGAAATATTTACCTCCAAAAACTTCAAACTTCACATCTTCATCTGCATTTGCTTCCTTCACACTAATAAAATAAAGATGAAAGAAATACGTTATAGATTTAAAAATAAGATTTTAATTAAACACAAGAAGTTACCTTTTAATCTTTTTTTATTCTTTAAATGATTGTCCTCCACAAAATTATATACAGAAAAAGAAAAAATTAACTATAAAATAACAATTTAGTAAATATATAGTAATCAAATGAATATATTAAGACATACCTTCTACCAATGCATACATAAAGTTAGTATCTTCTATCATATATTTGAGATTTTGCGTTGCATCGGAAATTAGTGCAGATCGTAACCGACTCTATGAAAGAACCAAGGTCCCGACCATATCGAAAGTTAAATTACTTCGATATTGATTTAGAATACGACATCCTATGCTAAACGTTGATTCAAATGCAATCGTAGAGACCGGAAACGCAATATATCTCTCGCCATATGCCTTGAGATCGAAAATTTACCACTATGCATCTTCCACCGTAGAGGATATCAAACTCCATATTCAAACGTTAGATTTGACCATTTCAACTTTCTCCATCAAATAGAGATCTAACTCACTTAGTGATCCATATGTATCCTCGTCATCCACCATCACTTGATTGAAAGAAACAAAATGATTATCATACTTCTCGAAATCAATGCCAAGATCAATATTATTAGTTGGTACAACACAACTCCGTGTTACCAACTGATCTATTTCCGCTTTCACTCTCCGTCATAGTTGTCGGTTAATTTGTACCATGAATGATACAAATCAAACAACCTACGCAGTATCATTGACGCTTTTTTTTCATTTAAGCGGTTCTAGAAGTGACCTTAGTTGTAGTTGAAAAGGCCAAAGTCAAATCATAAAAAAACTCTCAAGATATGTACCAGACGTCGAGTTTTATCCCAATCACTTTCCGAAGGTGGCCCAATCCTTTTTTTCTGGATCTAAACTCGTCACCTTCACGAAAGTAGTCATCATAGAGTTTGTCTTCTTGCTCCATTCTCTAAAATGTTTCTTGGTATTTTAGAGCAGATGTCAACATAAGAAAAGTTGAATGCCATTGAGTTGTACAATCCAAGACAAGACTTCCTCTAGTAAATTTACCACTATCCACACAGTTTTTGAATGACTGCAGTTTAGAGTCCGATGATCTTACATACTTAATTGCATTGCGAATACTGATCACACTATCGCCCATGTCCGACAACCTTTCTTTCACAATCAAATTCAGAATATATGCTCCACAACGCAAATGCATGTACTCACCATCCAATATAAGAGTATCTGGTTTCATAATACTCAATCGATTCCTCAAAAACTTAATAGCACAATCGTTTGAACTAGCATTATCAATAATGATGGTGAATAATTTATCAATACCCAAATCATCCAAGCATTTCTCAAATTGTCTAGCAATTGTCTCTCCTTTATGATTTGAAATAGGACTGAAATCAATAATTCTTCTGTTCAACTTTCAATCACTATCAATAAAGTGAGCAGTGATAACTACGTAGTTCACGGTAGTGATTCATGTCCATATATGTGTGGTAAACAAGACTCTTTGCTTGTTTCCATTTAGCAATCTCTTCAAAGAAGTTTTCTCAATTAAAAAAAAACGTTGATAAACTTCTCTACCTATTGTTTTCCGTGGGGAATCACAAAGGAAGACATCGCAATACTACAAAAACGCCTATACTAATAGCTTCAACAAAGGCGAAGGACAACTCATCCATTATAATCATTCTCGCTAGTACCCTTTAACTCACATCTTGACTAAACCCAATATCAATAAGGTTAACATCACCACCACTTTCAGACTTAATTGTCAAGATATTCTGCGATCCACTTTCAACAAGCTTCTTATACTCTTTGCAAGTCTTTTCTATGTGGTTCTTCAAAGTGCTAGTTCTCGATAATAAAGATCCACTTAACACTATACCACAAAAGTTGCAGCACTAAAAAAAAAAGTCTTTTAGCAACGCAATTTTTTCGTTGCTACCTACAGATTTTGTTGCAAAACAGGGTTTGCAATGAAATTGCAACGAAATAATTTTCGTTGCTAACTCGTCGTTGCAAACAATATAACGTTGCAAAGCGTTGCAAATTTGTAACGCTTTGCAACGAAATATTTTCGTTGCTAATTGCAACGCAATTTTTTCGTTGCAAAATTAGCAATGCAATTTCGTTGTTAAAGTTAATATTAAAATAAAAAAAATAATTTAGAATTTCAGATTTTTTTTAAAAATTAAATTAAAATTAATTAAAAAAATATTAATAAATATAAATATTAAATAACAAATAAAGATTATATATATATATATTTGTAGAATTATAAAATTTATTTAAGATTTATAAATTAATGTTTAAGAATAAATAATTAACAAAAATAATAAAATAAATATTTAATAAAAATAATAAAATTTGTTTTTATTTGATTTTTCTTTAAGTTGTGGATGGAGAGAGGTTTTAGATAATTTTTAGAGTGAGAAGTTGTTGATGAGTTGTGTTTGAATTGTGTTGGGTGTTGATTATATAGAAAAACATTGCAACGCAATCATTGCAAAAGACGTGAAAATCGTAATCAATTGTAACCACAAATTTATTTTAAATTTGCAACGCAATTTCGTTGTAATTTAGGAACGAAATTGCGTTGTAAATTCAATTAGCAACGAAATTGCGTTGTGAATTTATTTATTTTTTAATCGGTCAAATCATATTAATTATTAAAAAATAATATTTGCAACGAAATTGTTGTGTTGCAAAGCGTTGCAAAATTAATTTTTTCCAACGATTTACCAATAATTTTTGCAACGATTTTGCAACGCTTTGCAACGCTTGCGTTGCAAGTTAACAATGAAATTATTGCGTTGTAAAGCGTTGCTAATTGCAAAAAAAAATGTAACGATTTACTAACGATTTTGCAACGCTTTAGCAACGCTTTGCAACGAAATTTTTCGTTGCTAATTTACAACGAAAATGTTGCGTTGCAAAATCGTTGCAAAAAAATTTCGTTGCAAAAGCGTTGCAATTTCGTTGCTAATTTTACAACGAAATGGATTTCGTTGTTAATTTCGTTGCTAATTAACTATTTTTTTGTAGTGCAGGAGCATTTTTTCGGATTGCTTGGAAGTTCAGTAAAATGATCTCATACCCGTGATCTCTTAGGAACTACCCTTTTAGTTTTCGGTTGTTCATCAGTGATAGTTGATGATGGCACATGCTTCCTCTTTTCGGCATTGTTTCCACTCTTGATTAGCTCAACACCATATCACCACAATTCTGTTTCAAAAAAATAAGAACTTCATATTAATCAAACTGTTGAAGATCAAAACGACAACAACAATCTCGAACATCAAAAGCAAGTAAAATCATGGTGTGAAGCAGAAGGTCTGAAGCGTATCTTAGACAGACACTCAAACTCAATCTGAGGGATATGACTCTGACGAAAATCAAGAAAAATATTAGCTAGTTTCCTTTTCTGTATATATTGTCAATGTCTGTTGTTTAAAGTTTCCATATATTATGTAGTAAATATTCCTATATATCAACTTGTAAAATTGCCGAAACTTAAAGAGAAAAATACATAACTTTCTTTCAGAACTTGTCTCTTTCATTTGTGTTTCACCCAAATTCCTCTCTCAAATCTGAAAATTTTCACAAACAAACTTCACTACAAATATATCATACTAAAGGATACTGACAAATCAACAACATATTCAACGGAATCGATAACTGCTACTATATCAGTTTAATCGAAAGTCGAAACATATCGAAAGATACCGAAACACATCGAAAACACAATCTCGATGGAGACTGAGAGAGACGGAGCCACGACAGAGACTGAGAGTGCCAAACTAATACACACATTTGATACAAAAACAGATTTGACAAGATTTTTCTTTTTATTCAAAACTTGGTTCTAAATTCTCTACATAGTCGGGAGATATAATAGATTTAAAGAAAAAAATATTTTTATTGATTTTAAATACTCGATATTCAGTTAAATTATTGTAAGGACTGTGAACTATAAAAAGTATCATATGATTGATTTTTTAGGATTAAATTCGATTTTTAAAAAAAGATAAATATCAGGATTAGTGTAGACACTCAAAAAAAATCTCAAAACAAAAAATCTAAAATTTTAATTATTATCACTCTTAAAAATTTAAATATTGACATATTATATGAATATCCTATGTGATAAATTAATAATTTGATCATATTTGATATATAATCATTTATATATCATGATATCACTATAAAAAATAAACGATAAATTTAAAATTGATATTTATTGTAAAGTTTAGATTTATTTATAATTTAAAAATTAAGTTGAATTTTAATTTTGTAAAAAAATTGAATTTGTTCAGTAAAAATTGAGTATTTTTTTTGGGATTTTTTATATTTTAAATAATCATTGCCCTTAACGCCATGGATTATTCTATCGTGGGGGACACTGCAAGTTTTTCAAAGCGTGGGACCCACTCATGATGTCCAGACACCAACGGTCAAAAAAGCTGACAGGAAAATAAAAAGAAAAAAAGCTCCGATTAGCGTGAGAGCGTCCCGGGCCTCTCTCAAAAACTACGGAACCAAAACAAGGAGGAGGAAAAAGAAGAAGAAATGGGGAGGGCATTCTTGTTAATAGTGGCCATCTTCTTCTTCTTCACGTGCATGGGGATAACGTGGAGCACGCCATGCAGAACGACCTGCGGGAACATTCAGATAAATTACCCGTTCGGAGTGGACGAAGGATGCGGAGCTCCTCAGTTAAGGGGAATGTTCAACTGTTCATCCTCCACAGATCTCTTCTTCCTCACCCCTTCCGGCAGCTACAAAGTCCAGAGGATCGACTACCTCAAGAACAGAGTTGCAGTGTACGACCCGTCCATGTCCACGTGCTCCATCCTCCAGCCTCACCACGATTTCAAGCTGACGGATCTCCAGAACGCGGTAATCAGGCCCTCGTACGACACCGTTTTCGCCCTCCTCAACTGCTCCGTCGACTCTCCCGTTCTCAACCACTTCCGCAACCTCTGCTTCAACTTCTCCGGCCATTCCTGCTCCGAGCTCTACTCCTCTTGCAGTTCTTTTCGCGTGTTCAACCTCACCTCCTCCCTCTATGGTAAGTGTGTGCCCTTCTTCTCGTTCTATACGAAAAAAATGTTTAATCTTTAAAGGAAACACTTTGAATACAAACCTAGTTTCTGAAATTGGTTGTAAATTCGTCGGATTCACGCTCTTTTGCGTAAAAAATTCAAGCCCTTTTCTTTCTTGCTTTTTATGCACATGAAATTTCAAGACTTTTCCGGGTTCTATGGCCTCTTGTGGTTCAAAAAGGAAACTTAATTGGGATTTTAGGTAACAGCACAGTCCATACGACGCCGTATTGCTGTTTCACGGGTTACGACACGGTGCGGGTGATGAGCATGGACATACTGGACTGTTCGCACTACACGTCGGTGATCGACGGCGGGAACATGAGGGACGTGGCGCCTTTTGATTGGCTGTACGGGATAGAGCTGTCGTACTCTGTGCCCGACGTCGGCTGCGGTCACTGCCAGAAGTCTGGCGGCTCATGTGGTTTCGACACCGAGTCCGAAGGTTTCCTCTGCCTCTGTTCTGCTTTCAACAACGCCACCAGAGATTGCGGTAATCTCTCTCTCTCTCATTGACCAATTTTTTTTTTTTTGTTGGGTAAAACTTTGACCAATTTGCAAATCTCTAATTTTTTTTTTTGTTGGTTTAATGTATACTTTATTATTATTATTTTTTTTGCAGGTGGAGCGATGGCTGAACAAGCGGGGTGCCATTCTAATAACATATATTATCTAACTTTGATATTGGCGATGTTGATGGGTTTTATTTACACCGTTTTGTGATTCGTTTTTGTCTATTATTCCATTTTCTGATTTTTTTAATTAAAAATTTCGTGCATTCGGTGTTAACAAAATCTTAATCTTATAGCCATGTTTAGCGTTTCTACTGGCGTTTCTATTAGGGATAAAGCTGGATACGGTCGGGTAGTCTAATTTTTAGAAAATTTTGTATCGTCTTCATCACTACGGATTTTATAAAAATATTATCTCGATCTTGATTTCATAAAATTCAGGTATTTGTAGTTCGAGTTTAATGAGAATCTCGGTTTTATATTCGTGGGTACTCGAACCTATACAACTTATAAAATTCCGAATCATGAATCAACAGAGATAAAAATTATAAATGGGAAAGTTCCTGATATGAGTGAGAATTTGAGAAAAAAATAAATGGTTAATTCGGTTACATAGAAAAAAAATAACAAAAAATAAAATATGATTTAAAATTGTGGAATTTTTAGATAAAAAGGGTTAGAAGATAATTTTTTTTAACTAAAATAAAAGTATTTTAATAAATAATAATAATAATTTAGATAAATATTATAAGTATAAAGTATATTTTAGATTTTTAATAACTATGTCGGGTATCTCGGATATTTTATAAAATAATTGAAACTCGAATTCGGATTCGGGGGTCGAAAATTTAGTCTTTTTTTTTCTCAATCTCATCATCGTTAATATTCGAATACCCTTTATTCAGATACTTATTATTAAATCAGGTACTTCCAAACCCCGGATTACGAGTTAAGATGTCCATCCCTAATGAGGGAAGGAAGTTTCGTAATTTTATCAGTTCGATTTAAAAACGATTTATTCGGTATTTTAAAATTTATACTAAAATAATAATATATATTATTAGGTTCCATTCGATTCTAATTTTATTACGATTTGTTTTCGGTTTTTGTTAAAAAAAATTAGATGTACTTAAAAATATTCTTTTTTCGAAAATTTTATAAAATTTAGTTCATGAAAAAACCGATAAATATATGGTTCGAAAATTTTAAATAATACCATTTGAAAAAAAAACCGTAAATTTCAATTATGAAGAACCGAACTGAACCGTCTCTACCCCTAGTTTCTACACAAATACGAAACCTAAATCGGAAAAAAAAAACACGAAATCAAACGAAAATAATTTAGAATTTAGACTCGGGGCAAATTCGGTCAGAACCCGAAAGCAAAGAACGTCGAATTTCTTCGGAACAGGGTCAATGGCTCGCAGCGAGGAAGCTGAGTACGAAGACGTTGTCCGGTCTGTTGCCGATGTGAAGATCACCGGCGACGGAGACGGCGTCCACGTCTCCTGCTTCTCTGAGGTTTCCGACGACGTCACACTCTTCTTCCAAATTATCCGTCTCCCCAATCAGGTTCCCGTTCAAACTCTTTTCCCTAGCTCTCTCATCTCCATGGCTTCCACTTCATTCGCAACCCCAAATTCGCAGATATACGTGTGGGTTGGTTGTAACTCCGCCAGATTTGGGAATATGTACGCCGCTGCATCTACCCGACCAGTGAGTTTCCGAAACCTCGATTTTTGAAGCTGCAATTTCTGGATTTCATCGTTTGATCTATGGCTACTGACTCGGATTCCGTGGCAGAGCAATACAGTGAGTATTGCTTCAATACTCGGAGGAACATCTGATAACACTGGCTCCGGCATTGCTCGTAGACTGGGTAAGTTCCGACCGGAAATCGCTCACTCAGTGTTCATGTCTTTCCTGATAAAATCGTTCAGGCCGAGATATAACTTTGCTGGTTTATACCGCAGTGTTGAAGACTGGCCTCAATATCATCCTGGCTTGCAATATCCCCAAGAACAGTCCTTTGCTTGAGGTTTCGTTTCCTCCCTTTGCTTCAATGTATTTTTTCTTTGCGTCTTGGAACAAACCCTAGTTTACTGCTTGTTTGGTTTGTAGGCAAATGCAGAGAAAGTGTTGATTAGAAAGTTGATTGATCTGGGTTACACAAAGTTAGCACCTTCAAGGTCCACATAGTTCAAAAGGGCATGTATTATCAACTTGGCTGCTCGCTGTGAGTTTGTTTTCGCCTCTTATGTTAAAGGAAGGTTCATCTGTAGAGCTCCTGGACTTAGAAAAGATGTTCTCCAAACATTTTGATTGATTGAAGTTTCCGGTCTCTCCATATGTTTCGGTAAAATCAGAAATTCAAAGAAGTGGCTTCTCATTTTGCGGCTTTCGGTTTTGTTTGCTGTCTCCCTCTTCTCCGCATGTTCGCATGTTTTTTCTTGCACCATTGAGATCTCTGCAGGCTAAGGCTATCTATATTCTTGCCTTCTGTCTTTGCTCCTTCTCCGAGCGAGTGTGTTCCTCATGGCATTGCAAAAGGCAAAAATACTTTCAAGCAAAGTGTAAAAAGGGCTTTGATTCTATACAAAGCAATTTTGCAATGTTTTCATATACAATCTTTTCTCCTTCCCCAGTAGTCTGAAGATTGAGTAAAGATAATTGTGGTATGTATTATGAACATATTTTGCCTTGGTGTGCCACTTCCCATGGCCAGTTTCACTGCTATTTTTTCTATAATCCGAAAATTTATCAAATTTTTGGTTCAATTATATCTCTCAAAAGAATCGAAACACTTCTTTCTTTCTCCACGTTTGGATTTTAACCTGTAGAAGAACATATTTTATATATTCTTTAACGATCACCCAATTTCACTGCTATCTGTTTGCACCATCTTGCCGTAAACATTGCTGTTTTTCCAATAAGGCAATATGATTAAACACTTTTCAGTGAGCCTCGGAAGCTATGAATGACTAAACTTTGTGAATGGATTTACATCTTATATATACTCGATAATTGTCCATTCTTATTTGGGGTTTAAGCCGAAATCAATGGGTTGGTTATATCACAAAAGTTCCCAGACTATAAATATGGTTCAGTCCGGTTTTCCGAAAGGCAACAAAAGGTTTAGACCGGAGGAGGAACACTGATATAGCAGTGATATGAACACGTGAATGAGCATGACATAAAGTTCCATCTCTCATTGATCCCTCCACCTCCGCTTCCTAACATTGCAAAGTGGATCGAAAGTTGGCTTTCAGATCGTGATCCGCGCAGATGATTTCTTGTCTTCATTGGCTATGTCACCTCCGTCTATATAGTAATAGTAAAAAAACCGAATGATTATAATTTTTCTAAAATAGAAAAAACTGAAACAGAGTCTAACCAAATAAAAAACAACTAAAATAACCAAAATTTTCCGTGAAAAAATATTACTTTTATCAATAAAAACTAAAACCGGACCGAATAAAAGAATAACGGAAAAACCCGAAAATTTCTTTAAAATATAAGAAAACGTGAAACGAATAAAAAGAACAACTGAAAAAACTGAAAACTATCTTTGAAAAATCACCATTTTTATCAACAAAAACAGAAATCGAACCGAAATAGAACCAAGCGAACCAAATCCAATATAAAAACCAAATGGTTATATAGTTTTTCTAAAACCGAAATAACTGAATACGAACATAAACCCGAAACGACCACCCCTATTTCTGAGATATACAATGCGTTGAGATTTACCGGATGAGGAGGTGGGGAGCTCGCCATAGATGGTCTGGAGTGTTGTAAGAGGAACCACCGCAGAAGCGCCTGCAGCAGCGGCTTCGGCATAGAGAAGTTGCTTCATGTCCCAAATATTTGTCTTCATGGACTTGTTGGACTTTAGCAGCGAATCTTTTTCACTTTCCAAGGCCTCAACTCTCTTCTGTAGACCATTCGATCTTACTCCCAGCGCTACAAAAGCTACTCCCAGAAACGTGTATACTGCAGTAGTGCTGTTCATCGCCTCTGACACGACCGTTGCCATCTTGCTCGCCATCCTGTTTTCCCAATTTATCAGTTTTCTTTCTTTGTCGTAATCAGAAGATATATACATAGCTGCACACAAATCCTCAGTAAACAGAAAAGTTGCAGGTTCCATCACTTTACACATAACATAACTCAGTTTCTCTGAGCATACTAGAAGAAATAACTAGGGTTGTGCCCAGACAGGTACCCGGGATTTTTGGAGTACTCGCACTCGACCTCGGCATACTTGGGTTCCGAGATCTGTAAAACTGAACTCGATCTCACGAGACTCGAGTACCATGAAAACCCAAACACGTGTTTTTCAGCCAACCTCTACAAATTTCAGCAAAAATATACAATGTATAATGATCCGGACCAAATCCCAGTTTCATACAAATTTCATCCATATTTCGACCCCAAATCATGCAAAGTCAACATTTTTTTATCCAAAATCATCCAGTCATACAAATCCAATTATCCAAATCCTCTCATAAACATAAGTTCAAACAACTTTCATTTAGACCTGCATCTTGTTAGAGAAATCAAACTATCAATTATAATTAGATCAGTAAAATCTGAGAGTGAGAGTTGTCCATCTTCATTATAGTCCTGCACCGTGTTAAAAAACTCAAGCTATCAAAATTCTAAGCACCCAGGATGACATAATATTCAAATAGAATCGATGTGGTAGTTCATTTGACACGAATCTAGACTCAACTTGAAGAGAGAGAGTCCAAGGAGACGAGCACAAGGGGGCATTTGAAACTGTAACACATAGAAAACATGAAATCACAAAATTCGAAACCCTAAGCCCCCAATCTCGATTCGACGGAGACTCGATTCGACACCGACGGAGATTCGACTCGACTCGACTCGTTACGGCTCGATTCAACTAAACGAAGAAACGACGGAGCTCGCCGGAATGGAAGAGAAACTCACCGGAAAAGGAGAATCGCAGACGGAGGGACACGATGGAGTACACGAGAGAGAGGCTCCAGAGGCAGGCAGAAACACGCGAGGGAGAGAAACCAGCCACCGAAAGAAAAAAGTCGCGTCACGGGGCACAGAGTTTCATTGGGCCGATGAAACTTAAAAAAACACTATTTCTCAAATGGCAAAAAGCCCATAATGAAACATTTATTTTGCAAGGCCGAAATTTGGTCCGACATATTTTTTTTTAATGAAAATCCAAATTTAGAAAATAAACTCACCTTTTTAACTGTTCAAAAAACATTATTTATATCGATCCAATTCAATTGAGAAAAAAAATAATATGAAATGAGATCATGATTTCGAATGAAAAAGGTTAAAATCCCTAAAAAAACTTCCAACTTACACAAATATATATAAATAAACCTTCAACTTGAAAAACTGTCATTCAATCTCCGAACTTGTAACTTGTCACTGAATAAAACCTCGAATTTGCAAATTATTGTTCTAATAAACCTTTGAACAGTTTGACCACAATTTCAAACGATCGGAAATCCACGTATTGACGGATTGTTGATGTCATTTTTTAAATTAAAATTGATAACGTGCATAAGGTGACATCAACAATCCGTTAATACGTAGATTTCCGATCGTTTGAAATTGTGGTCAAACCGATCAAAGGTTTATTAGAGCAATAATTTGCAAGTTTGAGGTTTTATTCAGTGACAAGTTACAAGTTCGGGGATTAAATGATAGTTTTTCAAGTTGAAGGTTTATTTGTATATATTTTTGCAAGTTAGAGGTTTTTTAGGGGTTTTACCCAATGAAAAATAAAAGAGAAGACAAGAGGAAGAATTAGGTGTTGAATGGGGGTGGTTTTCGGAGTTTTTGGATTTTAAAAACTGAAAAAACCAATAATTAAGTTTTTTAATTTTTGGTTTTCCTAAAAACGCGGAAATCTACTTTATGGAAAAAATCAACTAAAAACCAAAAGCTACAGAGTTTGAATGGTAGTGGCTTTTATTTTGGGTTTTTGGCTTTAGTTTTTGGTTTTTAGTTTTTAGTTTTTAGTTTTTGGTTTTTGGCTTTTGGCTTTTGGATTTTATAAGTTTGTAAATCTAAAAAATTATAGTTTTTGGGTTTTAGTTGATTTTTTCTATAAAGTAGATTTCCGGGTTTTTAGGAAAACCAAATTTTAAAAAACTTGATTGTTGGTGTTTTCACTTTTTAAAATCCGAAAACCACCTCCCATTCAACACCACAATTTTTTAGATTTACAAACTTATAAAATTCAAAAGCCAAAAACCAAAAACTAAAAATTAAAAAACAAAAACTAAAGCCAAAAACCCAAAATAAAAGCCACTACCATTCAAAGTTTTACTCATATGGGCATTCGAGAATCATTTTTTTATGTAACTAAAAATCGTATGTGGACAACAAATCATGTGTTTTAAAGAATAAAAAAACATATAGTTAGACTATAAAATTTACGAACGGGTGGGGTGTCAAAATGGATTTGACACCCAAAGCTGTTCGCGAGCCAACACATATTTCACTGTCAAAATGGATTTACCACGAGAATCGATTCATTTGTCTCGTGATCTAAGACGAATCGGATTGAATCAAATATTTTTTCACGCCCGTGCCAACGCCAACTTTGGTAGGCAATTCTCTTAACAAGCTAAACATGTCAAAGCAGGAACACAAATGGAAGGATCTTTCAATTTGCGCGTGGGGGATCGCGAGTATATGATCATTTGGTTGACCATTTATAACTGCACCCACTTCCATTAAATTTCAAGCATGACACGGTCGAATTTGTGGTGAAAACTTCTACGTGGTGGACTTGGAGACGGACGACCCAATCATATAGAAAAAAAAAGGCATCGGTTAAAAGTCAAAGCATATTAGTTTGCATTATAACCAAGAAAAGTCATCTGCATCTGCTATCTATCTATATATATATATATATATATAAAACTTTCATTCTTAGACAGCTATATATATTAAACACTTGAGTTTCAAAATGTTTAGTTAGTGATATTGTTTAAAAACACAATTATATACTTATCTAAGATTTTATTACATCAAGTATATGAGCAATTACAATAAACTTTTTTATATGCTTATCAATATTTGTGAGACTATTTTCCAATTTGCATAAAGGAATTCCAAGATAAGAAGTTATAAATTTCGTGTTTGATGCTAAAAATTAAGTCTATCAACGTTTAGACGTTATAACTAACAAATGTCTACATCGTCAGAGTAGATTATCTTTGTGGCAGTATTCGTTTGATTAAAATTATAATTACAAACCAATTTGGTGATCAATGAATTAATTAAGACTTGCTGAGTTGTGATACCCAACCAGAACTCGTCAAAGAAAGGGTTAATTAATAATAATTAACGCAATTTGCGAAATATGATGTAGACCCGAAGCTGCTATAGTGCGCGTCGTACTATCTTGCGCCGTTTCCCTCATTATTTCCTATATATAACCCTAACTGTCAATTTCGCCGGGAAGGAAATTTAGCTTGTGCAGGCGTAGGCTACACCAAATCCAACGGAGAAGACGACGAAAGGTATCACCGCAACTTCGACGATCATCGGAAATACAAATCATTCTCCTTTTTGCTTAGATTGAGAAGAGGTAAATGCTCTGTTCTTCTGTCTGACTCGCATGTTTCTTTTCCTCTTAGGCCGTTGATCGATTCTTCTGACCTGATTTCATGCCGATGTTGGTGATGAGATATGTGACCGTCGGAATTGATTTCGATTTTACTTGTCCGGAGTGCGAATTGTTGGGTTGCGCTCGTTGACTTGTGATGTTCTAGGTCTACGAAACGCGATCTCCCAGTTTTTGCTCTATTGATTTTGATCGGTTTATGTTTTTGGGATCACGGAAGCGAACAGTTTTATACCTTTCAAAAGCACCTATTTTGGTGAAAATTATGTTTTTCTGGTAGTGTTTCAGGCCCTTTATTTGCCCCTTGCCCCGGAGTGTGAACTGATCGAATAATTAATCCATGGAAGCATGTCAATACTGGTTCAATCTTAGCTGGTTATTTCTCTCCGTGGTTCAATCTTAGCTGGTTCAATACTGGTTCAATTTGATTACCAAAAAAAAAAAAAATACTGGTTCAATCTTAGCTGCTGCTGAATATTTCTCTCCGTGTCTGAATATTTCTCTGCTTCGCGATTCCTTTAGTTTGTATGAGAGGAAAGCGCGAACTGCTCTAGTCTTTGTCCTGAGGGGAGCTGTTCACTTACCCTTAGTTGTGTCTGAACGTCTCTTTACTTTCAGTCACATGCGGAATTCTTCATGTCTGAACATGTTCTTGTTTACGTTTACAGTTTGGGCTGCTTATTTGAGTGCCAAACGGTTCGTTGGAGTTTTGCCTTCAAACAGTGTCTTTGTTTATGCATACAATTGGTTTCCTCGACTGAGAGAGAAGCAGATTAGCTCAAGCCTTGTCCCACATTACAATTTTTGTGTCTGAATTTACCATAATATTTCATCAGCTCGTCTGAGAGGAAAGCTTAATGGGCTGCTTCGGTTGCTGTGGTGGAGAGGATTTTCGTAGAGCTGCTGAAACTGGGTCGAGGCCGGTGCCCAACACACCAGGTAGCTTATCTGCTCTCGGTTTTCTGTTGCGTTACGTATTTATTAATCAATCCCTTTTAGCTGGTAAGGTAATTGATATTTTAACTGCTTTAAAGGTTACAATGGTGGACACCATAGAAAAGAAGATCAGCCCAAGGACCGTCGCCCTGTCATTGCTATGCAGCCTATAGCTGTACCCGCCATTTCCGCAGATGAACTGAGGGATATAACCGATAACTATGGGTCAAAGGCTTTGATCGGTGAGGGCTCATATGGAAGAGTGTTTTATGGTGTTCTTAAAAGCGGTAAGACGGCCGCCATCAAGAAGCTGGACTCCAGCAAGCAACCTGATCAAGAGTTTCTTGCCCAGGTAGACCTAATGCTTCCCAAAGCTTCTAAGTTCATGTTATTCTCCATCAAACTTTTCCATAGAATTGTTCTCTCGATCTTTGCCTTTTTGCTGACATAGAAAACATTGGCAGGTATCAATGGTTTCAAGATTGAGACACGAAAATGTTGTTGCACTTCTTGGTTACTGCGTTGATGGCCCTCTCCGAGTTCTTGCTTATGAGTATGCTCCTAATGGTTCTCTTCATGATATCCTTCATGGTAAGTTACTATCCTGTAATATTTTAGCAGGTAACAACTGATAAAATGCGAAAAGTAAAGGAATTAAAAGACTACTCGCCCAAGGTTGTAGGATGAGTAAAATAGAAAGTTGTGATTTCATATTGCAGGTCGGAAAGGTGTCAAAGGAGCGCAACCTGGTCCAGTTCTATCATGGCAACAGAGAGTTAAAATCGCTGTGGGTGCTGCCAGAGGGCTCGAGTACTTGCACGAGAAGACGAGCCCTCCAGTTATCCACAGAGATATCAAATCCAGCAATGTCCTTCTGTTTGACGACGACGATGCCAAGATCGCCGATTTCGATCTGTCCAATCAAGCCCCCGACATGGCTGCACGCCTTCACTCGACTCGTGTTCTAGGAACCTTTGGTTATCACGCACCCGAGTAAGTCCCCACCCCTTCATCTTTTCCCCTCCTTATCAGTAGTGATCTTCAAATTCTCACATTTTTAACTCATGCTCTCGGGACTATAGGAGGGTATCATGGTATAAAATAGTATGAAGAACTAAGTGGTTAACCTGGATTTAGTTTTTTCTATTATAATTTTTCAAACTCTTTTTTTTTTGGGACGTGCTTCAGATATGCAATGACTGGAACATTGAGCACAAAGAGTGATGTGTACAGTTTTGGTGTTGTTCTGCTGGAGCTTCTCACGGGTCGTAAACCTGTCGATCATACGTTACCGCGTGGACAGCAGAGTCTTGTGACATGGGTAATGTTTAGCATAGTGATCTCTCTTTCCTTTCCCACTTTTCTCGTATATAAATAACAAAAAAAAAATACTAAAGATCTCTATAGCAGTACCTATGACAAAGGAGGTTAAAAGTCTAAGAAAAAACTCTTTACATCCCCGTAGAAGAGATAAGTACCTCACTTGGTTCTTCTTCTGTAGAAAGGAAAAAAAGAGAATAATATTGATACAATTTAAAGCCCTAAATGTTAACGATTGCCCTGTTTGCGACCCAGAGATGTCTGAAGAATAGCTCCCTGAACTGAACTTTAACCATGTGGGTTAAGGATATGAGTTGAGTGTTCATAAAATCTGAGATTGTCCCAAGAATTTTTAGATGGATGTTGTTGCTATTGGAGAGTGAGAAATTTTGAATGTGGAAAACAGGCGACGCCTAAGCTGAGTGAAGACAAGGTGAAGCAGTGCGTTGATGCGAGATTGAATGGGGAGTACCCTCCAAAAGCCGTTGCCAAGGTATGTGGTTAAGTGTTACTATGAATCCCTTTGTATGTATTCATTTTCAAATCTATTTCCATTGTCGAATTCTCTCTCTCTCTCTCTTGTGTGTATGGTAACAGATGATGTTTTGAAAATGTGGTAACGAAATGATAATTGTGGCAGATGGCGGCGGTGGCGGCGCTGTGCGTGCAGTACGAGGCGGACTTCAGGCCGAACATGAGCATAGTGGTGAAGGCTCTTCAACCTCTTCTCAACCCTCCTCGCTCTGCTCCCCATACCCCCAACCGTCACCCCATTCTCTAATAACCCTCACCTTTCTCTATCACAATTATAAATTCCCTTTTGATCGTACTCAAAATCCTTGTGGTTTCATTTTCAGAATTTAAGGATTGTATGTGAATTCTCTCCTTCCCCACTGTTTTGTCTTTTGCAAACAGAAAAATATTGCATTTTACCATAATATAGAAGAAAATCCATTGGCGTGTTTATTTACTTTAGAATTGGTCAGGGCGCAAAGGTTTTGCAATAGCTAATGTTTTCTATTCGTTCATATAGATTTTCGCATCATAAACCTAAAATGCTAATGAAATTGATTTTTTTTTTCTTTTAAATCCCAAATCGAAGCTGGGCCCAATTATTTCGCCATGTCTTGTCGCTTAGAGGCCTCCTGCACCTTTTATTTATAACACTGTAGGCCTATTGGCCGTTGGATCATGGATCCACTCATCGGAGGATTCATCTCCACCGTCTGTCCATTTTCTTTTCACGGAAACACAATTCCCCTCGTCCAGCTCTGCTATGCTGCCTTATATTTGCTATCCATTCAGTTCCCATGAACTTGTTCGTCTCTTCCGCTCCTAAATCTCCTTCTGCTTTCGTCGTTTTGCTTGTGACGCATTCTTCGTCCTTTTTTTTTCTGCTGTTGCATTGCAGCCCGTCGGAGTTTTCGGAAATTTTCATCTCAGGTGATCTTGTGATCCACATTCGCTACATTATGCTGGATTCGCGCGTTTGTTCTACGTCGAGATTCGCAGTTCCTGGCTTCTGATCTCGAGGTACTTACTACTCTCGCCCAATAGTTTGATTCCCACGCTTCCTCCTCCGCGGATCCGATCCAATTCGCTGTGTCTCTGATCGTGATCTCTTGATTTCTCCTACACTCGGCTCTGTCGGTCGATTTAGGCTTTCGCGCCCTCAACTTCACGTTTTAGGCTTTGATTTTGCCTGTTGATAAGAATATTTCAGGCATTTTCCATTTTTGTAAACTCATCTGAGTAGTTTACTTACGATGCCAATTTCATGGCAAATTTGTTTTGTTTCTCACTTTTGAGTTCGTCGACGGAATTGGGGTTTCTTTGATCTGTGTTGTTATTTCCACGCGGTGTAAGATTCTTCTCATCGTTCCTACTAAGTGCGTGATAATCTTATCTGCTCAGTTGAATCGGCAATGTCTAACTAGGGGTACATTTTGTTCCGGGTTCAGATAACAGGCATGGAATCCTTGGATCTACTGGGTTTCAAGGTGGGTCACTGCCTTGTTATTGTGTTGTTGCAGTGATGGGCCACTGACTATCAAGAACTGAATCAACCAAAAATTTCGGCTTTTGAATCGAGGGAAGAGAAAAACGAAGATTGAGCAGAGATGATAAACAAGACACTTGTACTGACTTATTTCTACTTACTGATCTACATTTTGCTCTCATCAGGAGTTATCCTGTACAACAAGGTGATGGCAATGGCTGTTATACTCGAGTCAAGTATATAATATATAAGCAGACATCTCTGTCTATTTCTGCATATTCATTGGTGATTTTGCATATTTGGATGCCAAAAGTTTCAGGTCCGAACGGATGTGTTGTGTATATAAAATGCACATACAGATCACTCAGTAAACTATGGGTGTCGAATAGAACTCGTTCATTCTCCTTGTTTTTGGTTTTAACAAAGCAGGGGACCATTTCTTGTCTTTGGCTCCTATTGTGCTAGAAGCTGACTTTTATCTCACATCTTTCTATTTTTGCCTTTTCTTTGCAGTGGGTACTGTCTCCAAAGTACTTCAATTTTCCGTTTCCTATAACACTGACAATGATCCATATGGGGTTTTCTGGATTTGTGGCCTTCCTTCTTATTCGTGTATTCAAGGTACTTTTCTCATAGTACAATGAAAGTGCTTTCACTTATGATTGTGTTGTGTATGCTTACTCATAGGGTGAGCATGTATATCCGCATGATTTATGCTTCATAAAATGTTGAGTTTTCTTTCAGCATATTTTAACTTTTTTTTCCTCTCATTTCCCGATTTCCCCACAATGGCAACATATAATATCACAACCTGATTTGTTGATTTATTGCATTCGATGCTAGCCAGGTGATTAGTTTTTTCTTTGTGATGTAGGTTGTATCTCCCGTTAAAATGACATTTGAAATGTAAGCCAGCTTAATCTCCATTTGTCTTTGCTTATATATAGTCCCTCCGTTCTCTGTTTTAACACATTATTTGTGGGGGCAGATATGCAACCTGTGTGGTACCTATAAGCGCATTTTTTGCATCAAGCCTCTGGTGAGTCCTTGATTTCAGAAAAAAAATTCCAGGGTTCTTATTCTTTGCAGAGTGGGTACATTTGTGTTCTTCCTAATAGAATTTAAATGGTGATTTGGCCATCACTTAACTTGCTCTATGCTAGTCATACCCACTGTTTACAATGTTTCTTGACTACTATGTTTTCTCCTGTTCAGGTTTGGCAATACTGCATATCTTCACATTTCGGTGGCCTTCATTCAGATGCTGAAAGCTCTAAGTATGTGGAGCGTGCATGAGCTTTTAGTTACGATATCTGTATTACTAAATGGCATTCTGATTATGTCATAAAAGCTTCCTAATGCTTGAGTTTGCAATTGCAGTGCCGGTAGCAACATTTCTTATGGCCGTTGTGTGTGGCACTGACAAAGCAAGGTGCGACGTGTTCTTGAACATGTTGCTGGTCAGTGTCGGAGTTGTTGTATCCTCATATGGGGAAATTCATTTCAACATAGTTGGCACAGTCTACCAGGTCACAGGCATATTTGCTGAAGCTCTCAGGCTTGTGCTAACTCAAGTTCTTCTACAGAAGAAGGGCTTGACATTGAATCCTGTCACCAGCTTATATTATATAGCTCCCTGCAGGTCACTCTTTCCCTGAGTCCTGATGTTGCTTTAACATTTTTTTTTAAAATTTCAGAAATAGAATCTGTTATTTTATCATTTCGATTGATTTTATGTTTGTGCTAAATAGAATCTGCTCGGCTTCCTTAAAATTAGGTTCTTTATGTTGTGTGCAGTTTTGTTTTCCTGTTTGTGCCATGGTACATACTGGAGAAGCCAGGGATGGAAGTTTCGCAGATACAGTTCAACTTTTGGATCTTCTTTTCGAACGCACTCTGTGCATTAGCCTTGAACTTCTCGATATTCTTAGTGATTGGGAGAACAGGGGCGGTCACCATAAGGGTTGCTGGTGTTCTCAAAGACTGGATTCTGATCGCCCTCTCGACAGTCATCTTTCCAGAGTCTGCAATCACTGGCCTGAACATCATCGGATATGCAATAGGTATACATGGGTTGTCTTGTGTTGAGCATATGTATACCATATACAGGTACTCTTTTTATATACATATATATTGTGGCATGTGTTCTTTCTGTCACAGCGCTGTGTGGAGTTGTAATGTACAACTACATAAAAGTGAAGGATGTGAAGGCGTCACAACAGTCAACTCCGGACAGTCTTCCAGATCGAGTCGCTAAGGTCAGTCAAGTTCACCTCTCGTCCATCTCTCTCTCTGTCTTCCATATGGAATGGCTAAGGCGGGTCATTCATGTTCTTCGTTCTTCGGCAGGACTGGAAGATGGAGAAGAAGTCTTCGGATATATTCAAGCCAAGCGACAGTGGAGAGGGCCCCTTCTCAGCAGCTGAGCCAAACGATGAGGAAACCCCCTTGATCACAACGTCTCGGTTATCCCATATTGGTCGAACCCACAACGCCTAGCGTCCACACATAGGTTTTGGTCCCCGGACATTGAAAGCTAAAAGTAGTGGAATAGCCAATGTTGGTAAGTTCAGAAAAACGAAATCCACAAAATCGTTTGTAGTTACTTGAAAGACATAATTCTCAACTATTTTAGTTCAGTGGAAAAGTTTTGGTTGTCCATCACATTTTCGTCCCACGCTTTGAATTTGAATGCTCAAGTAGAAGGGACAAAAACAAAAGCCAACTATTTTTGCCTTCGTTGGTCACCTTACAACATTTTTATTACAAGGACGTTATTATGGTTGGAGGATTTCTACACCTTTTGCTGTCCAATTTCAGACTGCTCTGTTCCAGGAATGTAATAAGGTTAATTTGGATAGTTCAATCGATAAAATCGGAGCGAATCCGAAAGGTACTCGCTTACACAGAAAAAAAAAACATTATGTGAATGTCACAACTCCTTTGCATCGTTTTGGCAGCGGAAACGACGACAGGATTCAAAGTCCCGAGCTTTCTGGGTGAGGCATTCGAGCAAACACCTTGTGAGCGTGTTATGTCACTGAGCTGATCCAATCTTCACGGACCCGAATTTGTAGTTGTTGGATCAGGAGGAGGGGGTGTGGAACCGAGGGAGTTAAGATGGAGGAGAGCCTCTTGGGCTCGCTTCCTGGCGAAGGCTGCCTCTCTGACCCTCTTATCAGCCTCGTTCTTGGCGAGAGCCTCAGCTTTAGACATGGAGAGAGCCGAGATTTTGGCGGCAGCAACGAGGGCCTTGGCGGATTGCTTGTCCAGGGGAGAAGACGGGGAAACGGGGAAGAAGGAGAAAAGAGGGTCGGAGCAGGGAGGGCAAGTGAAGGAAGAAGAGGAAGAGGGATCGGAGCAGGATAGGTGGGTAATGGAGGGACAGCTAAGGCAGATGAGGCGAGAGGAGGGAGGAGGGACGATGCCTTCGAAGACTTGGAGACAGACCGGACAGAAGAGGCCATTGTGGCTCTTCAGCAAGCAGTCGGTGCATTCTCGCCGGAGAATCCCTCTCTCTCGGACGTTGTGTATCATCGCCGCCTCCGTCGTTCCACAGCCGTCGCATTCCCGCCGACGCTGCTCTCTGTTCATTGACCCAAATCCTTCTCTTTTAGCAGTTGGAATCAATATGGAGCCTTTTTTTTATAAAGTTTTTAACTTAGAATTTGCGTTTGCTCTCCTCGCTCTTGAATTTCTTCTTTCAATCCATTACTCAGAACACACACTACTTGCTGATTATATATATATATATATATATATATCATATTATTTTGGATTTAAAAAAAGAGAGAATTGATGTTTTTTCCATTGGAGCAACTGCATGACTACATGCCCTCTCTTCATCAATCAGTCATTTTTACATCCCACTACTAAAAAGACAATTGATGGGAAATGGGAAGAGAGAAGGATAAGGTGAAACTTCTTCAAGTGGCGGCAACATCATGATGAAGACTCCTCTGGTTTGATTCAGGTCTACAGCAGGGGGAGCTCGGTCTCTGATTGTTCCGTAAATAAGCCAATTGAAACCAACATATATATGTATAGACACATTATTACAACTTGGAAAACTGTCTGAGCCGATCAGCGGCGTCGTGGGCATGGTCAGGAACTGGAAGATTGCAGAGAAGAGTTACCCTCGAGGAAGAGACCAAGGTTTTGGATTGAGGAGAGTGATGGGTCTTCCATAGCTTGACCTCCCAGACCTGAATGGTCCTGCCCAGGCTCAGCGGTGAGGCCTCGGCCAAGATGAGGTCGCCGAGGTCAGCGGACTTCATGTGGTTGATGGAGAGGTGAATTCCGGCGACCCTTTTGAACCCAGATGCCATGTGGGCCCCCATGCTGGCCAGAGACTCGGCGATCAGGGCGGAGACGCCGCCGTGCAATACCTTGAAGGGCTGCCTCGCGTAACACAAAAAAAAGGAGCCACATGCAATCAGAGAGGAGAGAATGTTGATGATGACGAAGGAATTAATACAATTGAGAATGAGAAGAAACCTGGCAGCAGGTGGAAGTGACAGGAAGGCGGCCGGTGATTCGTGTCGGTGATAACTCGTCGATCTCGAAGCCCAACAGATGAAGCGGAGGGTCCAAGCCCTGAGTCTTGGACGAAGAATCCATGAATTGAGAGAGAGAGAGAGAGAGAGAGAGAGAGAGAGGTGGTAGGTTTTGGTGAAAGAGTGGTTGAGAGACGAAGGAGAAGTGTGTGGATGGATTTGGTTATTGGGATCGGGGGTTGTTGGGAGCAGTGCCGACGATTCACTCAAACGGGTCAATCGATTGATCTTGCAGCCTTATTCCTACCTGCGGTGTTCCAAAAACAAGCAAAACCAAAACAATTACAGTTCTGTCTACAATCCAAGATTCTTGTGTAAGGAGGGGAGATGATGATGATAGACCTTTGTAAATAATGGTTAGCATATCATCTTCTAAATTTGGCATTTATGTTGTTATCATTATGATGATAAGATTGAAACCGTAAACGTGCGGAAATAGACAAAAAAGGGGGGAGGGGGGCAGGCCCACATTTGATTCGATTTACCATTACCCTTTTTTTCGGCCTGATTTTTTTAAAGAGGCGATGTAAAGCCCAGGCGTGGCCCATGGGCTTTTTTAGCTGAACATTCTGTTTCCGTAGGATGGGCGTTTCGATTCTGAATAATATCTAAACCGATCAATACCGAGCGAGGTTAAAACTCGAATTGTCTCTTTTATTTACAAATGTATGTGTTAATATGGAATTTTTTGAAATGGTAGAGAGAGCAAAGAGAGAAACACAGCGTGAGAATTTTCTTTGTATTTCAAAAATCAAAACAGTCTCGTACATACAAACATAAACTTGAAAACAAAACTAACAAACTGAACCGACGCACTAAACCGGAAATAGAAAAATAACCAATCATCAAACCGAAATCAACCTAAAGACCGGAGTCTTCAATACTCTCCCTCAAGATGGATAATACAAGGACTGTATTCTCATCTTGACAAGTAGAAAATCGGTTTGATCAGCAGACAAAGGTTTTGTCAGCAAGTCCGCCACCTGTTCCGCAGAAGAAACATGAATTGGCTGAAGAAAACCAAGATTGATCTTCTCTCGAACAAGATGACAGCACAACTCTATATATTTAGTATGCTCATGGTATACCGGGTTATTTGCAATATGTATTGCAGATTGAGAATCACAGAAAAGCTTAACCGGCAATCCGAAATCAACTCCAATATGCATTTCGATTCTTTTTTAGTATTTATATAACAAAACCGTTTTGAACCGAATATAAACCAAAACCTCATCGAACCGACTCAATTAATATTTTGTTAATTCTTTTTTTATAATTTTTATACAATCGAATAAATTGTTTCCGAATCAATCCGAAAAAATACTGAAACCGAAACCGAGACAATGTTCGGTTGCTCTGTTTCTTTTTTTTCCCCATGTTTTTATCTTTTTTTAGGAAGTAAGGAATGGGTATAGACTGCACTTGGAAATCAATACAATTTCTTTTAAATTTCCAACAACGTTTACCACTTTATATTGGCGGCAAGGCCCACAATCTTGACTGACTATAGTTCTGATTAGTCACTTAGAAAACGTTACATATATATACATATATATAGATAGAATTAAACTGGCATCGAGTATCAACTATCATTGGAAAATGTGTGTGAGAGAGAGAGAGAGAGAGAGAGAGAGAGAGAGAGATTCGGTAGAGAGAGGACGCTGAGTTCGCACAAAGTCACCGAATTGGCGGACCGACCAAACCGCCACTTCCGGTCAGAGTCAACTCCCAATCAAACGGACCGACCATTCAATAGGGAAAATGGTGAATAATTGTTAAATTTTTTATTATTTAACGTAAAGCATTACAATATTTATACATATAAAATAAAAGTATATAATATCTTATTTAATCAATATAAATATTTAAAATATAAAAATAATATCAAATCTAATACGTAATATTATTATAATGTTTTCAAATCTTCTCTAATAATATTTTATAATATTATTCTTTTTGTTGGAGATTTTAATTTCTATAATATTCTTTGTATCTCTCTATATATATATATATATATATATAACATGCTTGGTTTTGTATTGGGTATAAAGGAGTGCTTGTGCTTATAATTAATTGTCTTACACCACTTTTAATCAAATATGTAATTTGCAGTGGGTCCAATTTTGACTGGTTATAAGAAAAACATATTCATCTGCTTTATATATGTTTCTACTTCCTCTTCCCACAACTCCACCAAATTTTGTGCACCGGTTCTGAATCATGTAACCGGAAACCACGTTCAATAATATACATAACAATTAAAGTGTCAGAAAAAAAACATATATAAAGAAGCGAAGTGATTTCCCACCAATGAGCAAAGCCCGTTGGCTGTCATGTGGGTTGCAATAAGTCTAATTTTTGAAAAAATGAAGATAGGGATTTAAAATAAGAGATTCTATTGTTACGAGAAGGGGGTGCATGCACTGTCAACGGTTCCTCTCATGCCCTGATGCCCCCTTTTTGTTCCTAATATTCATTATATATACACAAGCATTACATGATCAAAACTTCATATGTTACTTTTAAACTACGTTTTCCTTTTAAATTATTTGCCCTTCAAGTTGCCCTTTTACTTCAAGCGATATATATATATATATATCGAGCGAATGAATGTAGACGTTCTTTTTTTTTGGGCTCCGGATATTCGGAGAAAAACTTTATCTTACGGAAAGGAAGGAAACTTGTGTTAATATAATATACGCAAATACTTGTGCGAAAATGAGCATATCACACATAAAAATAGTATATATGTATATATATATATCGGGATAAAAGCTGGGTTTATAAGAGAGAGAAAATAAGTTGGGTGTCATGCAAAACATAATATTTCCCATTTAAACGACATTCCGTATAAATATATTGTGTGTGTATATATATTAACGAATAAAATAATGACTATATTGTCAATTGGTCATAAAATGTGCGCGGGCGCGCATGTGTATGCGTTACTAAAATATATAGAGATGTGAAATTCTCGGAGATGTAAACGAGAGAGAGAGAGAGAGATGCAGGAAAAAAAAACATGTGGAATTCACATGGGTTCCTGCCGATCACTCTGTGTTCACATTGATCCGGGCTTTTATCAAAAATATCTCTATTATGCTACAAAGACTTCAAGGCATACCCCTGCAAAAATAAATAAAAAAGTTAGTTCAAAACATACCCTTATAATTATGTTATTCCCATAATACCCATTGGCGTGGGTCCCAATGACAGAAAAAGAAGAGAGAGAACAGTTTTCGGTTCCCTAGGAAAAAATTTAAATATTTTAAAATTTTTAAAACTCCCTCCACCACAAAAAGTTAAATTTTTCGCGTGAATTTTAAAAATTTTCGGTGTGACCAGTGTGACCAGTGTGACCAGCGTGACCAAAACTAAATTTTGAACGGTGTGACCAGTGTGACCAAAACTAAATTTTGAACGGTGTGACCAGTATGACCAAAATTAAATTTTGAACGGTGTGACCAATGTGACTAGTGTAACTAGTGTGACCAATATGACTAATATGACTAGTGTGACCAAAACTAAATTTTGAACGGTGTGACCAGTGTGACTAGTGTGACCAGTGTGACCAAAACAAATTTTAAACGGTGTGACCAGTGTGACTAGTGTGACCAATGTGAGTGTGACTAGTGTGACCAATGTGACCAGTGTGACCAAAACAAATTTTAAACGGTGTGACCAGTATGATTAGTGTGACCAGTGTGACCTCTGTGACCAATGTGACTAGTGTGACCAGTGTGACCAAAATTAAATTTTAGACGGTGTAACCAATGTAACGTACCTTTGTCAATCTGTTCCATTATTGCTCCAAACATTTATTTGGCATTAAATATACGCCTCTTGCATATTCTTCGACAGATTTGCTATGCATCTATCTCATTTTCATAAAAAAAAATACACGATTCACTCTAAAAATCATAAAACTCAAACCCAAAACACAAAGTTTATGCATCGAACCAATCTCTTGTATTAATGAATTTACCTTCAGTTTTTGTCATTTGTTCTGTCTTACACCGACTCAAGAAGAAGATATGAGGTCGTCGGTGAGGATATCCTCAACGAAATAATCATTTTTCGTTAATGAAATGAGAAGGGAGAAAATGAAAGAGTTGAGAGAAATATAAGAGTAGAGAGAGAAAGTTAAGAAAGAAATGAAGAGTTATCAAAGAATGAAAATGAGAGAGATGAATTCAAAATGAAGAGAGGAATATCACGTTACTTTTGTGAGAGGGTTAATTATGTCTTTTGTTCCTTTTATTTTTTTTTCCAAAATTTTAGGGTTTTGGAGGGTAGTCCGTGAAGTCTATGTAGCAAAGTAAGGGTATTTCTGTTATATTGCCTCCATACCCCTCCCATATACATACATACATACATATACCCCTCCCATATACATACATACATATATATATATATATATATATGGTCTTTTAATTTCTCGGAAACAAATTTGATTAAGCAACAAATGATGACGAGACGTGGATTCATATTCTTATAAATTACATGACGTATTTGTGAGTGCAAAAATATAATGGTATGCGGAAAAAGCTGCCTTGAGTGAACAAATTTAGTTCTCATATAGCATCCACGACGGTGTATTATAATAACAACCGAATATCGTAAAAAAAAAATAAAAACTTTTAAATTTGATAAATAAATATATAAAAATTTATTTTGTATAGATTTTTTGACTTTTTGCGTAAAAAACCTATAAAAACACTAAATTTAATTAGTTTTTGTATAACTGTAGCTGTATGTAAAGAAATTTGTATGGATTTATACGAAATTTTTAAAATTTGTGTATTTTTATACCAAATTAAAAGTTCATATATTATTTAGCAAATTTAAAAAATTCATATATATTTTTTTATATACTCGCATAATAATTACAATCTACCGTACCTCCGTTAGTTCAGATGATATAATGGAGAGGAATATGTTATATCCTTAATGGTCACACAAAAACCAAAGATTCAATTGAACTTTAACCCAAAAAAAAAATGGACATAGGAATTAATTAGGAAAGGTGAATGAACTCTGGGCTTTATCCTCCTCCCATGTGTAAAAAATATAGGAAAAGCAAACTCTAGCCACTGTAATCTTCCGAGATCAATAAAAAAAACTATTTACTTTTGTTTTAATACTAATTAAACTCTATATCTAGCGTAATTAATCTATAAATTTTTATTTTTAAAAAATTTGTCCAAAACTTTCATATTTCATAACTCAAACAAAAATGATGATGTAACAATGACATACTTTTCAACACCCATCAACATAATTATATCACATTATCATTTCAAATAAAATTTAAATTAAATAATTTATTTAAATTAATATATATACATACAAAATCACACAAATTATAAAAGTATAAAACTTATGAGTTATACAAACTCGTGGATTTTACTTGAATTTTTAAAAAATTCAAAGTTTTGTAGATTAATCACTATAAATGTGGACGAAACTTATATGAGTGGGGTACTTGCCCCCATAGACATTTAAAAAAAATACTTATCATTTTTATTTAAATTGTAATAATGCCCCACTGAAATTTAAGTGGTACCCCTCCAACTTTTTACTCTAAACCTTATTTTCAATTTTTTCTTCTACTAATTTCACATTCTTCTTCATTTTTTTAAATTTTTTTCCAACTCCAAAATTATATTTAATCTTTGATAAAATAAAATATAAAATCAATCATAATCAAATCCAAAAAAACTAAAAGTAACCAAAAATAGGTAAGTTATTATGAATTTGATTCTAAATAATTTTTTTATGTTTTATTCAATTGTTTTTATATTTTTATCATATTAATAAATTTATTTTTATATAAATCTCATGTTTGATTTAACCAATTGTTAAATTTCTCAAAAAAAAGTATATGTTCAAAAATTTAATGATCTATTTGACCAGATAAATTCAAAATTGTACATTTATATAATAGTTTTGAGTCATGTTAAATCATTACGTGAGTTTAACATGTCAAATTTGGTAAAATTAGTTAGATTTTATTCCGATGACTCTTTGGAATAAGTATCTCTTCAACATGAACTCAATATCTATATCAACAATTTGATATGGATGATGATAAATTTTCTAATTTGATTAACCTTGTAGATCTTATTGGTGGAAACAAAGAAATATCTTTCGTATCTATTGGTATACAAATTTTTGAAATTGATTTTGATTTTGTCCGTTCTGTTGTCACCGTGACGTTGAAAAATATTTGAACTTTGTAAAGACAACTTTGTGTCAGTCGAATTAGTGATCAGTTTTTCAGTGATTATCTAATTTGTTTCATCGAAAAAATATATTTTAGAGAGTTATAAAATAAAATTATGGATAGATTTTAAGAAATAAAAGATCGTAAAATTTATTTGTAAAACGAAAGATATTTATTGTCTTTTGTATTTTATATAATATTTAAAATTGTTGTCTCCCTTAACAAAATTTCGGATTTTTTTTTGCCATATCTCATATATATATATATATATATATATATAAGGTTATATATTGTTTTTAAAAAATGTTATTGGGAAATATTTACGGAACAAGAGATATCTATATAATGGAGGAGGGGATGGGGAAAAGGAATCACGTGGGAGGGCATGTGGGAAGGGAAGGCAGCCAAACGATGTTGAGGATAAGAAAACAACGATGCTTCTCCCGAGCTCTTATCGCGGATCTTGCCTCTTTTTCATCATTATTAATTTATTATTTATTATTAATTATTATATATATATATATATATATATATAAAGGCTATAAACTCAGAAGCAGGGCTCCCCCCCATCCACACAGAGATTGTGATTGGGAGATTTCAAAAGCGGAAAATGGCATCGTGGAAGAAAACAATAACAACGCCATTCAGGAAGGCGGCAACACTCTTCAACCAGCCGCAGCCGCAGCCGACTTCCCGCCCCGGTATGTATATGTAACGTTTTCCCCTTAATTTGATCGATCATATATATATATATATATATATCAACCACATATTCACACATATATATATATATATATGAACAGAGGAGGAGAGGAGGATGGTGAGAGAGCTGCAGGGAGAAGTGATGGCGTGCGGCTACGAAGACGTACTCGTCATGTGGTCTATCCTCGACAAGTCCAATCCCTCTTCCTCCTGCGATCTCTCCTCTTCTTGATCATACATACCTTCTCCCCCCTTCATGTACATACATATCATATAGTTACATTTAGTCGAGGCTTCTTTCTTCTCCCTCTCTTGAGTCGGAATTCGGACATAATCCCCGTGACCAATCTTTTTTGTCCCGGTGCGATTTTTTTTTGTTGGGCCTTGGACAATTGTTTCGTCCTGAATTCCGTACGTTTCGCTCTCGCTTTAATTAGGTTCAAGATTTGTGTTCTGATGCTTTCTCTCTCCGTACGTACGTGCACATGTACCTCTCCTCTACATGCACTCATCATTTCGTCACGACGATGGGTTCCAATTTTGAGCTTGGGTTCTTGTCCAGTAAAACATTACACTATATATATATATATATATATAATTGATATCTCAAAATCCCGATTGGTTCCATATGTATCAACTATTATTTAATCCAAAAAGAAAATAAAAATCGTAGATGGATTTGGATTGTGATTGACAACGATGGAAACCGGACTCTTGTGGCGGCTCCTTGTCTTTTCCATTTAAGCTAGCCTGGGAAAAGGCTTTAGACTAAATATTTTTATTTACGAAATAGATGATAATTTTTTTAAAAAATAACATATAAATATCCGAACTTTTACAAAAAAAATTCTATATAAATATGTGATAAATACCTAAATTTTTAAAAAATTCTTTATAAATATCTAGATTTTTTTTTAAAAATTTTAAATAAATACAAATTTCAGATATTTTTTTAAATAAAAATAGGTGATGTTATTAACGTATTTTGGGTTTATTTGAGAGTTTTTCAAAAGTTTAGGTATTTATATATGATTTTTAAAAAATTCAGATATATATATAAAAATTTTATAGTTAAGATATTTGTGTCGGATTTTTGTAAAAATTCAGCTATTTATATGCGATTTCCCCTAATTTTTAATATAAAAAACAAAAATAAGCAATGATAAACAAAAGTTGGATGTTCTATAATCGTTATTTCGTTGTACCGATCGAGTGGTGTTTGTTTTCTTCTCAGTTTTCTTGTTTTTTCCCAATATTTTTCCTGGGAAAATTTCTACAGCTTTTCCCGGAAACTGGCGTCCAAAAGCATCATCAATCTCAAGACTTCAATTCTTGGCTCAATCATCATTTACATAGATGGTCGATCAAGCTTTGGCTCACTCCACCGGCTGTAGCAAACAAGAGCTAGAAATCATCGACAGCTTACAGTGTCTGAGTCTAACCTTGGCCGCTGCTTCGTTGGTTTCACCCAGGACCTCTAAGTGAACGAAGTCTAACCTCAATCAATACATCTAACACAATCATATGAACAGCAAAGCAGATGAGCTGTAAGACAAATAATGGCTGTCGAAGGTAATCAGTACAATTGGTAAGAAAGGCAAATGGTCTGGATCTCATGAAAGCATTATTCACACGGTATCTCTTAGAGGTCAACCGAATCTTTCAACTCTCCGACGTCGCAGCTCCTCCACAGGCAGATCACCGGAAGACGGCCTGGTCGGTCTCTGATACACAGACGAGCCATTTTCACTGCGTCCAGTGCCGCACATCTCACATACGCTTATCCAACCGGAGTTATCGTAAGTGCACGCTTGGCACCTCCACATGCCAGACCCTGCTATCCCCGTCTGCCCTCTTCCCACCCTTCCTCTCCCCGAAATCCTTTGCCGCCGCCTTGAACGCAGCATATTGTTCACAAACCTCAAGGGCCAGCTCACAACTTGGGTTACGCCTCTTACCACCATGGTCAAGGGATCAGTGCCTGAATAAGAGCCCTTCAACCTCAGATAGAGAATCCCTGCGAGGATTCCACCGAGGTGTCCAAGAAACGAAGCGCTGGGGACAAACATCTGGACTAGAATCAGTTCCGCCCAGGCAGCATATCTGGTCGGGACAATGATGCCGTACACGCTGGAGTACTCCTCAGACTGAGCGTTGAGGACGACTTTCATGGCAAAGAGGACACTGGAGAACCCGGCAGCATACTCGTGGTAGTAGGCTCGGTCGTAGTCGAAGAGGGCAAGAAGCGATTTGGCTAACAGCACGGTGAGCCCATGGGACATACCCAAGAGAGCTACGATCATGGAAGCAAACTCGATGCTTCCCATGGATGTTTCGAGCTGAACGCCTTTCCAGAGAAGGGACATCATATTGTAAACCAGGTGAGGTTCGTTTAGATGGTAGAACGCCGACAGAAGGAAGCGTTTCAAGTCCTTATGCTGTTCAATCCAACACAGAAGAAGGAAGAAAGTGAATCCATTATGCCTCAAAACGAGAACGCCACCGAAAAGGACTACGGAAAATTTGTCAATTGGGTTGGGTGTCGTGCCCACATGAGAATAGCCGAATCCGGGTGTAAATTAAGGGGGGGAATAGGAAGGAAAAGGGGGAAAGAGAGGGTATACCTTGACGATGAGGTGGGGATTGAACCAGACCTCACTGAGATGGGGGAGAAGAGGATCGAGGAAGGAGGGTCTGAGATAGATGAGAGTGTTGGCGGCCAAAAGACTCGCCGTCACCGGCGGCTTCCATGGCAACCTGTAGTACTCGGCGACGGTGCTCAGCGCTAGCAGCGGCAGCATCCCTCCTCCTCCCCTTCTTCTTCCTTCTCCCCAATTCGCCATTGAATCTGTTCTCGTACTCGAAAATTAAAATTAACTCCTCTCTCTCAGCAGGAGTCGCAGCTTGGTAAGGAAAGGATTTGATGAGAAGGGGAAGGAAAGGAAGGAACCGTTCTCTCGAGAGGCTTCTTCCCCTTTTGGGTTTGGGCTTTACGTGTGGGGCCCATTTACGACCATTTTTGCGGTTTATAATTTGCTGGGTAGCCGTTTCGGTTCGGAAGAACCAAATCGTAAATAACTTTAAAAAAATGAGGTATTTTTTTCGATTTGAATTCTACGAAATTTCCGAATGATATTAATTTAAAAAACAGAATTTATTGAAACGAATCGAAGCGAATTTTATAAAAATAAAAAACTGAATTTTTTAATAAAAATCGGAATCGAACCAAATCGAACCCGTACCGAACCAGATATAATATAATAACCTATTGGTATCTATTTTTATAAAACCGAAAGAATCGAACCGGATACCAAAATGGCCACCCTAGAATTTACCAACAATCACAGTCACAACCCTTTTGAAAGTTTCCTAATTCCCAGCTAAAATAGCCTCTTTCAAAGCCGGGACAATTTGCACCAAAAAAAAGGTTCAAAGGCAGTAGTAAAATTTATGAAAAGAGATTATCTATCCTTGCAGGTGATGCGCTCTTCTTGGGTCGAGTGAAACAGAGCAGTAAATGAAGGAGGGATTGAGACAGGAGGAGTTAAGTGTTGATTAGGGCCTTGAGTTGACGAGGAGCTTGCGGAGCATGGAGTTCTCGTTAGTCAGAGTAGAGATCTTCTCCTCGAGTTGGGCATTCGTGTCATGCAACTCCCTTGCCCTTGATTCCAGGTCACTCATATACACCTTCTTCCTCTCTCTCGCTTGCTGAGCCGACACCCTATTCCTCAGCAGCCTGCTCATGTCTTTTCCATGCATCAAAGATTCTCTCTTTTGCGTCTAATGCACACAACGGATTAGTATTTCAGACCATGGAGCTTGAGGGGGCATTACCTCTTGAGGCGTCTGTGCTCTTTGTCCGAAGGGTTACGGCCACGGCGGCGGCCCTTCTGAGTCTCGGGATGGGTGACATTATAGGCACTATGGTCAGTGCTTGCTTCTATATCAGGAACCATTAACAACTCCTCCTCACTCTCCTCTGCAAAAAAAATTACCCAATTAACAAATCCAAGAAAAAAAGGACTTCAGTCACTAAAAGAGAATATAGATGGCCTACCAATCTTGTGCTGCTTCTGAAGGGAAGACATGGATTCTCTTCAGGGGATGGAGCAAAAAGAGAAAGTTGATGTGGGGAGATAGGTTTTGAATTTGCTCAGTTGTTCAGCTCCTCCATCTCAGAAGGGAAGGGACCACTACTATTGCTCTTCTCTCTCTCCCCACAAGTCTTTTGGCCCGCAAAGGGACACGTCTGTTTAACCACAGCCGCAACTCCCAAACATCCACCCCCCTCTTCAATGACTCTGCTTCCTCCAGTGTTGCATTTCTGAAGAAAGATTTAGAGCTTCTTTTTGAATCTTATCCTCTTCAAAACCAGAACCAGTTAAGGCATTCCAAAGCCATAATTGTCTCTTTTAAGGACAAAAGCAAACCCCCCGCCATTATGGTTTGCTCCATATTTCAATGTGCAGTCTTCTGGAGATATTTCAAAGAATCAACATTATACAACCTGTAGAAAACATTAGATGCCTAGAATGCCGCAGAAAGACTGAGACTTTAACATGAAGAACAGTTCCAAGTTAAACAACATCGTGCAAGAACGACAGAAGAAAAGTACACTCCACAGAATCAATCATGCATTCTCCAAAAACAATCACAAGACTGCCTTAAAACTGAAGCCCATGTTCTCGCGCTGCATCTGCAAGAGCCTCTACACGCCCGTGGTACGGGTAACCACCTCGATCAAAAGCCACCTTTGTAACCCCTTTCTCCAAACAGGATTTTGCTATAACTTCTCCCACTCTCTTTGCCACCTCCTGGTCAATGCCAAATCTTTAACTGTTAGAAATTTTTTTCCCTCTCACTCAAATCCTAATCAAAGCATCAAAGATAATGCCTGAAACGCAGCTGAAGCCAAGTGAATCAACGGGTGGAATTTGAGAGGAAAAAAGTATAAAACTTTTAATTGTAGAAGATTGCTACAAAAAAGTGACATAAAAGTTTGGTACTTGTGATTGGTGGATGCAGTAGGCTATCAGGTCACATGCATTGCAGACAATTGGTAAATACTGACAAAAGCCTCTGTAGTTATGATTGATTGTCGAAAGTAAAAATAACCATATAGTGTATTGAATTAAGAACCAGACTGGAAACCTTTTATCTCGGGTAGATACGATTTTCTCAAATGAGCCATCAATCGATTAAAGGTGGGGGAAATTATGAACTCACAATTGTAGGGCCAGCAGTGAAATCAAACTCCTCAGAGACAGGTTTCTGCTTGGTCGAAGCAGAAGCTATGGTGTGCATTTTGGTATCATCAATCACTTGGACGTAAAGATGTTTGTTCGAGCGAAAGACACAGAGCCTTGGCCTCTCGGTCGTGCCAGAAACCTGTAAAAAAAGAAAAGAGTGATGAGAAGAAAAGGGTATCCATGGAAACTAGCTCATGGATCAAATTGATTCCTAACAGAAAGAAAAATGTTATGGGGAGGAGCCTTCTGAATAGAAAGGCGTCATCAATTCGCAAATAATCCATGATAATAGCATATCAATTCCACGAAAATATTGTTCTTCTCATCTAAGTTACCTAATATCTAATCATCTAGGGCATAGTTTTCCTCCAACTGAAACCAAGGCTGAGATAACACCTAAACAAGCACATAAGTACATGAATCTGAAACCAAGGCTGAGGCACTTGCAAAGAACATGAAATGAACCAATTTCTGGACAATCAAGATATACAGGACAGAAACGAGAGGACCTTTTTGCGGATGCGGGAATGGCGGGCGGTTCGATCATCGCCCCTGGTTCTGGCTTTGGCTGCGACCACAATAGACGGAGCCTGACGATGACAAGTCCACGGTTTCACGAGAACGGTACGGTGTTGCAGTCCGCTTCCGAGGAATACACTGCGGTTCGACAACAGGCTCACCGACCCGCATCCACTCGCGCTCGCCATTCTCTCTCTCCCTCTCTGTGAGTGTAGTGGTGCCTGCCTTATCTGCTTTTGCTCTTCCGCTGCTTTATTTTGCTCGATTTGTGATTTTGGCCCCTTAAGTTTTCTGACGTTGCTTATGTCATCCCATTATTTTGCTTGGTTTGTACTTTTGGCCCCTTAAGTTTTATTATAGGTCCAACTATTTCTTTCGTTTATTCCAAAACAAAACCTAATAAAAAAAAGTATCCATTTTTTAAACAGGTAAAAAAAATATTCAGTTCAAGAAAATAACATTTTCTTCGTCATCTAAGTCGCGGATTTAATGGACCGGCTCGCGAGATTAAACCGAAAATTATATAAACAATAAAATAACATTTCAATTCAGAAAAAAATCATATTTTAAATGTCTATACAAACCAATACTTACAATTAGTATGTCTAAAATAACCACACAAATTATAAAAATTAACAACAACAAAACGATTCTACCAATTTATTAACTTACAACCGCTATCGAATAAAACTTCAATATCATTTTAAATGCCGTTTTTTGTTCGACAAAGGTGGGTATTTTTTTTTATGATGGAAAATTATAATTTGAAAAGAAAAAAAAAACTGTAAAGTGAAATTACTCAGGAGCGTTTTATTAAATATCAGATTTGAATATTATTATTAGAAAAAATAACATATAAATACCTAAATTTTTTTAAAAATTTATATAAATATCTAAACTACAAAATTCTCATATAAATATCTTAAATTTTCAAAACTCTTATATAAATATCTAAAAATCCGGAAAAACAGTTATGATTCAACATTAAAAAATCCTAATAAACATTCATGTTAGCTCTATAGATGAACCGGTTTAATTGAATAACAAAATAATAATCGACCCAAACCGGAAAATGGTTTATTTGGAAAAAAATCAAAAGTTTAAATATTTATATAGGAGTTTTGGAAAATTTAAATATTTATATGCTATTTTCCATATATTGAGTTTATAAAAACACCTTGTAGAACAATTATTTATATATATAAAAAACAATTGGCAAAAACATGTATCATTAAATCTTTATCTTGCAAGAGTCTCCATATAAGCTGCCTTACTGAGCAGCACTCATTGGTCGTCTCTCTATCTTCCGCCGAAGCCGCCGTCTCTTTCTGTATCGCCACGCTACTTGAATCTGAATAGCAGCTCGTAGTCTCCAATACGGAGACTCGTACCTGTATATATATATTTATACGTACTTGGATGCGTATTTTTATTTATAAAAAAGTATATAATATATGGTACCCAAAAAAAAAACCTGATGGCGCCAAGGATACGATGGTTCCTGAGGAATCGGGAGAACAAGGTGGTCAAGTCTTCAAGGTCAGCCACCCCGAGTGAGAAGGCCTCCACGTTGGTCACGCATGTTACCTTCCTGCTGCTCATATACCCCTTTGTCGGTATCCTCATCTTTGTCCCCTCTTCACATTTTCCATTACACAATCATATTAATCGAGGTTCAGGCTAATTTCGAGATCGAGAACAAGCCATGTGATTAGAATTTGCCCTCTCCTCCCCAATTTAAGGCTCGAGCTCGGGACGAAAAAACGATTAGTGTCCACGTTTCACCGGTTGAGCTAGGGTATATTAATCATATCGTTGGTCCATGGTTTACACTGGTATTCTTTCTTTCTTGTGCTTTGATGTGTTATTTTGCTTTACGGTTTGAATATAAAGAACTAGGTACCTGAAATGCCGGTGGTGCGTTCGAGGCACCAGGTGAGGAGCTCCTCGCCGCAGACGCCGCCCTCCGACAATGGAAGGATGGAGCCGTCTTCCCCGACGCTCTCCATTTCTCCTCGCACTATAAACACCATCTTCTCCACCAGTCCCCCTCTGTGCAGCACATTGCTGCCCCTTATGTACGTCCTCTGCCTCAGCCTCTCTCTTATTGCATCTAGTATCGGCTCGTCCATCAACGAAAATATCCTCACCTGCATACAGATATGTATATCATCCTTCAATTTCCATCATAAAGATGCATACTTGTTTTGCTTTTTACCTTCTTGAGAAACTTGAAGAGGTGCCGCCGTATATCCCTCTGGAGGTCGTCGGGCAAATTCTCAAAGAGCATCTCTTCATTGACTCCTCTAGTGGCAGGCCCGGTCTCTCACCCTCCTGGACAACATTTTCAAACAACAAACCGTTTGAGTTTAGCCTCGGCCCGGGCTTGAGATCGTGTCTTTAAAGCATGATCCGAACAGACAAATGGCATCTGCCTCTGCTCATCGTACTTTCTTAAATCCTCTGGCAACCGTCTGTTTCTCATCCATTGCTCCACGTCACGTCTTCTCAGCGTCATTTCCATCCTCCTAGTTAAGCAAGGAGATGGGCACAATAATCATCAATCGCTCCAGTGATAGGGAATACCTTCGGCCGAGAGCTTGAAGGAAGTTTTGCATATTGCCAATCAGAATAGCAAACAGCAATAGCCCCAACCCGATGATCCCCATTGTAAAGAGGACCTCCCACACAAAGTAACTCGGAACTAGGTTCCCAGCAAGTGTGCTGATTTGCTTCATGAACAAGACAACAATGGACGTATGTCCTACAACGTCAACTAGCAATATCCGACATCTAATTCAAGCAGGTTTTCGGTATTTGTAACCGTTCATCGATAAGACAACCTATTCAGGACAGAACTTGAATAGAAGTCAGTCAGTTAGTTTACCTGAAAACCCCAAAACAAGGAGTAAATGTATCTTGTGGAGAGGCTGGCCTCATTGGTAAGACTGACGGCCTTTTCATAGATTCCATAAGGAAAACCATCTTCTTGGAAGCAGGCAACGGCATTTGAATCGTTACGCCATAAACTTCTCGCCAACTTCACCATCTCATTGTTATTTCCACGCCCACAATCTATCAGAGTTGTACAGTCGCGCTCAGTGCTCCGACAAGCATCTCGTAGGCATTGGTTAACCCTCTGAAAATCGGAAAACAGAAACAAACAGAGGTGACGGGGGGAACCAATAGATTTTCCAATATATAACTTCTCAATGCTTCATAAGAAAACTGATTTACCTGCAGGCCAAAAAGATACCAGCAAGAGCCGACAACATGACCAGCCAGCATGAAGGTGAGAAGATTGATAATGAAATTAGCCCATGCTGACTCGAATATGAATCCGGTAGGAGTTTGTCCAGCAAGCAGAGGCAAAAACCTGTACAACTTTGGAATGTACTGAAAAAGGACAGCAGCCCGTAAAAGGTTTTTCGCGCCGTTTGCTCCGGACGTGCCTAGATGGTCGGGTATCACCCGCAGTATCAAAATCTGTAGAATAAGAAAAAAGGGCTGCAAGAATGAAGGTTCGCCCTTCCGATCAAACGTGGCTCGATAGTCTGTAGCGAATGAAACACTGAAGTTTACCTGAGGAAGAGGTATCATTACAAACAGGTCGAGGAAGAACTTTCCTCGCAAGTAATTGAGAGCGATTGCTTTCGGGTGATCGACTAACTCTCCAGCCCCGACTACTCTGGACTCGGGAGCTATGTATGCCAATCGAAACTGCGCGTTCAAATATGAAGCAGAATGAGATTTTTATTCATCTTGGAGATGGTGAGACCACTAAGGCAAGAAACCCACCTGAAGAAGGATGTTGAGAAAGTGTATGAAATCCGTTATATTCCTAACAGTGACCAAAGCCTTAGTTGTTCCCCAATCGATCACAATGCATTTGTCGGCCTGCGGGTCAGAATGATAGGATCACAAGACAAGACAGAAGCTGCTGACTCATGTCTGTAAAGGGAAAAACATTCACTACCTGTTGGACTAATATCAGGAAGAAGAAAAGGGGGTCTATAAAAATGGACAACAGGCAAGAGACGGCGAAAAACTTGGTCCAGCGTTGAACGATTTTGGCATGAGGGTTCATGACTCCGGGGATATGCCGATTGAGAAAGCTGAGAAATCGTGTCACCCAGCCTTTGGCGTCATCGTAGAGAGCATTGCGGAACTGAAGAAAGAAAGAAGAGAGTCAGCAGAGGCAAGAGAAGAGGGACATTACTTGGGCGTTAAGGTACCTACCAGTGGTGGGAATACTGCTCTGGAAGGTTGATGGCGAGGGGATCTGCGAGCGTAGTAGGAGGGGCAGACAGTGCAGTACGGATCATTGCACATGCCCAGTTGACCAGACCTGAAGAGATGGGCATTCTTGTAATCGGATAGAGAGGAATTGTTGTTGTTTTCCGCTGTGAAAGAATGAGAAAGAGAAGAAGAAAAAGAATAAGATGATGAAGACGAAGAAGAGGAGGAGGAGGAAGAAGGAGGGTGGGGCTTGGGATCAGCAGAAGAAGAATAAAGCGGGCAGCTCTGACTCATTTGGGAGGAGGAAGTGGGTCCGCGGTGGGTTCGGACATGACCCGTAAAGCGAGGCATTACGTCGGGAGCGAGAGGATTGGAGAGGGAGACGCTACGTGTCCTGTAAGTGGATGCCCTGTACGCCTCTCCGGACAGCATCGGACTCTCGTCCTTTTCCCTGTCCATGTCGTGGGGGCGAGCCAATTTGATTCGACCTTCCTCCTTACATCAAAAACCCGACAACGAAAGGAGAAGACGTTGGCAAAATTGATAAAGCAAGGGAGTGGAAAGAGCGAGAGGAGAGTGGATATCGCCGGAGGAGGAGGAAGGAAGTCACCGGAAACGTAGAAGCAGAAGGAGCAGTTGGATGACTGATGGAGGAAGAAGACGATGACACTGTTCAACCAAAAAAATGACGATGACACTGAGCTCTGTTCTCAAACATCTTCTTGCAAAAAAAAAAAAAAAGTGTCGGAACAGAAAGACGGGCCGGCGGGGGATCTGTGGTCTTGTCCTTTCTTTATTAATTCCAGGTTGGGAAAGGAAAGAGATCTTTCGAATCCGGGCATTTCCCGAACGAGTGGTACACTTTCCTGTTACAGTGTCATTATTGACCATTTAAGATTTACACGTTTAGTATATTCAATAATTGCGTCGTGT